AAAAATATTGTCTTATATCCCACAGACACTGAAGAAGTTTTACGAATAATACAAAAACTAAAACTAAAAAAAAGTCCTGGACACGACGGTTTTACTGCAGAAATGTTGAAGCATATAGCAGATTTTATAACAGTCCCTCTTACCCACATAATTAATAGTTGCTTCGAAAACGGAATCTTTCCAAACATTTTGAAAACGGGTGTTATCAAACCGCTCTTCAAGAGTGGTAATAAACAACAGATTCCGAATTATAGACCTATTTCTCTGATATCACACATACCAAAATTTTTTGAAAAAATAGTAAAAGAAAGAATGACACATTTCATGAAAAAACATATAATCCTGTCCCAACAACAGTATGGATTCAGAGAAGGAAGATCTACAGAAGATGCAATATTGGAACTGACGACTCATATCTACACTCGACACCTCCAAACCGTTACTCTGCATTTTTATTGACCTTTCCAAAGCCTTTGATACTGTTTGTCATATAAGGCTTCTTGAGAAACTGGAAAAAATTGGCATGCGGGGTAAGCCGCATGATCTATTGAAATCGTATATCTCAAACCGTAAACAAGTAGTCGATATTGATGGTGCAGTAAGTACACCAAGGACGATTACCAACGGGATTCCCCAAGGTACGGTCTTAGGCCCTCTTCTGTTCACCATCTATATAGACAGCCTATTGAAACTGACCTCTGAAGGAACTATTCTGAGCTTTGCAGATGACACAGCAGTATTTTATAGTGACGATACATGGAAACAACTGAAAGCGAAGGCGGAAAAAGATTTCAATAATATTAATAAATGGCTTTTATACAATAAACTAACTTTGAATGTGGAAAAGACCAAATACTTACCCTTCACCTCCTATACTAACAGTTTGCCGAATATGGGGCCATTAAATATAAACCAGAATGTATCAATTCCAGAAGCCAGCTCCATTAAATTCCTCGGTATAAAAATTGACCGATATTTGAAATGGGATTTACATATATCGTATCTCACAAATAAACTTCGAGGATTCATATCGAGATTCAAACTCTTGAAAGAATACCTTGATATCACCCATTTGACAACTGTGTATTATAGTTTAGTTCATTCCCAACTTTCATACGACATAATAGGATGGGGAGGAGTAAATGACACACACTTAAATTGCCTCAATATTGTACAAAAAAAAATTCTTAAAATCATCTTGGGCAAAGGAAGGATGTATCCATGCGATAATTTATACAAAGAAACTGGCATTTTCGATGTTAGACAACTCTATTGCCAAAAAATGTAGAAAATATACAAAAATGAAATTAAAATAACACGCTCGGATCACCGATACAATACTAGGAGACAAAAACATAGTGTTGTGGTTCCGAAATTTATCAAAACAGTGGGACAGAGGCACTGCAGCTCTCTGGGTCCAAAAACTTGGGATTTACTACCTAAAACCATAAAACTAGTCAAAACTACGTTAAGTTTAAGAAACAAGTGAAAAATTGGCTAAATAGTTATGACAGAGATATATTCCAAAAAATTATTTTACTGTACCTGTTATGATTTATTAGTTTTAACAAATTGTTTGTTCTATTCAAAAGACAATGATATATATCTCTAATGAGACTCTAGATGTGACTTTGTACCGACTGTGATATTTATCTCATGTGATACCTTGCATAAAACTGTAAACCATCTATTGGTGATATTTAGATAATTTGTAATGTGATATATGAATATTATGTTCACTGAGATTTCAAACCGATCGTGTTATTCACTTGATCTGGATGTGACATTTTTACCGACTCGACTGTGATATTTTATCTCATGTAATATCTTGCATGAAACTGATAACCAATCATTGTAATACCCCATATCTAACCCATCAGTTTCTATGGTACCAAAAGTAACTTATCCTCTGTTCAAACGTTATCATGAAACAATAAATGAAATACGTTTTCGGTGAAAAGTACCTCCAGAACCTAAATCAGATCAATCAAATGGAACAAAAGAGCAAAGAAACGAAGAGCAAACAAAATGATCCGTAGAAAAGAAATCAAAGCGGATATCACAATATTAAATATCTTTTAATTTTCCACTCTATTAAACTCCAGATACAATTGCTGAAAGTATTCAAAGGGATAACGAGATAATTCACTTGTGCTTCAACAGAAATTACACCAATTTGTGTGGCGCTGCTCTGCGGCGGGCAGATCAACTCCACTCGTTTGCCCGGATTCCTGCTTTCGGAGTCACCGGATTGGAACATATTCCTCTCGTGTGTAGAGAGGCACGGTTGTCAAATCTTGTGTTCTCGTTGCAAACTTCGACTTTTTCAATGTTAATTTACTCCAATGGGCGTTTTACTAACGCCAATTTCATCTGAAATGATAACTAGAAAGACTGAGAAGTTTTTTGTTTGGCACTAGTTTGGCACTAGTTAATTTCCAAAATAAAAAAGTCTCCACGTGAAAAAATTAGTCCAAAAGATCTGAACAAACTTTCTGTGAGATGAAATTCGAATGTGAACTCATTTGCTTACATAAAACTGAATTACCAATCAATTCATCACATTTCTGGACATATGACAAACCAAAATGGAGGTTATTGCGATACCCAGTTAACAATTGATAACCGTGTCTTGTTTGAAGTTCTAACTTCTCCAAATTTGAATCTGACCAATAAATCATACCCAAAAAAGGAGCAGGACCTGATTTAGTACCCTCATCCATTTACAAATATTCCATTTGGTCGTATTCTCCAGAATTAAACGATACCTGTGGATACCTATCCACGAATCGGGTAGTATAGGAACAGACCTTCATTACTGTGTAAAATATGTTGTTCAATCACCTGTCAGCACTTTTTTCAAAATCACTGATTCGAAAGCAGCACGGATTGATATATATCTGGAAAGCCAACCGAGCTCAACCTCCTAAATTCTATATCAGATATCCTGGAAACTGGTCATGAAGTATATTCCAACTACACTGAAGTGTACGAAGCGTTTCATAAGGTGAATCATTAACCCATTGTAGACAAGCTTTGCTTTGACCTATCACGGCCAGTCCTGGAGTACAACGAATATTATTTTTATGAAATAATGCAAGTTTTCACAGTAAATAATTTAATATACAGAGGCATTTCAGTAAAATCAGGTGTCCTTCAAGGGCTTCATTGAAGTCTCTCGTTATTTAACATACTTATAAATGATTTTTTTCTGCTTCCTCGGGGCCGTCTGACTTGTCCATTTTTTTGTCCAATCTTTGTCTCTGTACTAGTCTACACTGGTCTCTCGCTGGACGTAGGTACGTCATATTCTTCTGGACATAATTTGGGGATTGTCGAAGAATTTTTAGACACTTGTGATCCAAAATCGCACATTCACATAAAATATGCCAAGCTGTTTGTGCTCCTTTGTTGAATTGACTACAGCAGAGTTTCCCGTTGTACAACACTATTTTGTTCAGGTGTCCTCTCAATGGACAGTGGCCAGTAAGTAACTTTGTAATTGTTCAGAGTCGATCCCTGCTTTGTTGAAACAGTTGGTCCTCTTCTCGGACTGTCCCTCTATAAAGGTTTCCCAGTGTGTGTAACTAGTTGTTTTCCCAGTACTTTCTATGTTTCTTCCTTATAGACTCATTCCTATATCTGGTTTCGTACCAAAAATTTTGGCACCCCCATAGCTGGTTCAGGACTTATATATGAAGTTAAGGCTCCGTGTATGGCACACTCGTTAGCACAGAGAGTTGGTTTGTTTTCATGACATACCTAATAAATAGTTAACTAAAAATCCCTCACAGCTATCACATACCCAAGCATATGTCGTGGTTTTTGTAATACTTTTTGTAAGTTTTGAAGAAAGGAATGCCAACAAAATTGATAAAGCTTGAATGACAAAACAAAAATTTAATTGAAAACTGAACAGAAAACTTGAATTTCGAATATTTTTATCCACGTATATCCAGAAATTATCGGAGGCTGAAGGTATAGGTCTCTAACTGAGACTTCAAGATGAGTTAATTTATTTGAAATTGTGTCTGAAGACTGTAGGGGAGATACATACGTACTAGAGAATAAATATTTCGAAATATTCAGCTTTTCTAACTACTTACGCCGTTGGTAAATGCCTGTCGGAAAACAAATATTTGCCCGGCTAATACCAGGCTGGATATTGAATCATATCAGACAGATATGTATGCAAGATACCTCACAAACGTTAGTCGTTAGTCTCGCAGATATTTTTTGTCCGTCCAGCACCAGCATAATTATTTGAGGTTCAATTCCGAGGTATCACCTCTCTTTATCATGAGGTAGGTAGGTGAATTATTTCAGTATGGTCCTACTGCTGGATGAAAGAGAAATATCTGCGAGACTAACCTTTGTGAGGTATCTTGCTTAAAAGTCTGTCGGATATAATTCAATATCCAGCATGGTATTAGCTAGAGAAGTAGTTATTTTCCGACGTGGCATTCACCAGGACCCACGGTGTAGGTAGTGAGAGATGGGTATTTCGAAAATTCATTCGGAAAAATTTATTTTCCAGTTATCTGGAAATATTGAATAAAATGTGAAGAAATGAATATTTAAAGACTTGTCTGTTTCTTTCTAGTTGGAAATATGGATGAGCCATTTTCATCTCTATCAGGACGTCTCCGAAAACAAAAAAATGCAATTTTTTTTATTTTCGTGTCATATTAGTTTTCTGATTCGTCATTCAGAATCTATGTTTTGTTTCACGAAAAATTTATTGATGAGATCAGGAAATTTCTATTCAATTCTTGACAAAACGGTGATATTTTTTCCACTGTAGGTGGAATAAATTGATTTCCCTGAAACGTCTTTTCAAATAAATTTAATCTGCAACGATTCAACTTCAACGTGAATCGCTACTTTCGCACAGGCACCGCTCTTAGAGCGCCTTTAGGATTTTTCAATAGTGCTCACTCTGACAACAGCGCAATTATCTTCATGAAGGACTTGGATTTTGCGCACCGATATTATATCTCGTAGTAATCGATTTATTTTCTCCAGCACAATGTAACCTCAAAAAGAGAGGCTTGTGGCGTCGTTAGTTGGAAATGAAGGTGAGTACAATTGAATTCTAATAGTTGAGCTTCAATCAAATGATTTATAGAATTCATATCTATCAGTTCCAAACTGAGTATTTTCCACAATCATATTGTGGAATAGATCCTCTTCCTGATGACATTTACGACTTGATATTTCATTTTCTCTCTCATATTGAAGTTTTTCGTATAAGAAGATGATTATAGGCACGCCTTCACTTCAATAGGATTAAGAGTCTCATCAAACATAACAGGTGTTTCGCCAAACCCCTCATGAATATCTTGCACAGTATCCCACCAGAGGCTTTCAATTTCCGATCAAGTCACCCTTTCTTTTATCCAAAACAAGGGAACACTTGAGGCCAACACTCTTGATGCACATATGGAGTAACACGCCCTCTATCTGTAACCAGAGATGTTATCAGACGCTAATGACCCTCTCTGGGGTACATGCATGAAACAAGGGCGTACGAAAAATGTGGGGTTTCAGTTAATCTATTCAAGTTCGATGTTACTCATTTCCTACTTTCATATGTATGTCTCATCCATGATTATGAAAGGAATATTTTTCTAGTAATATGGAGATAACACAATATTAAAACCCTCATGGAGCTCTGTGATCGTTGTCTGTGTGAAACTATCTACAAATTTTAGATTTTAACTGCTGTAGAATAAATTCTTCTTGGAAAATGGTCCCAACAAATGTTTTCCGAAGTCGCTCCACTTCAGTGGTTTATGTGTTTATCCTCTTCTTCGGGAACTCAAGAGGATGAGCTTTTGTGTCTGACCACTTACTCTCGAAACTTACAGCTCTCAGATCAAGCGACCTGTGTCGGGTTACCGCAGGTTTCAAAATTGCTGAATTTTAACCAAAGAAACCGTCGTATGAGCATCGCTCAGGAATTGTTGAATGACGTCAACGGCAATCCAAATTTGCTTGAAAGGATCATAACTGCTGATGAATCATAGGTATATGGTTATGCCATCGAAACTAAATTCCAATCGTTCCAATAAAAGAACCCGGGAGAACCAAGACCAAGAAAGCACTCCAAGTTCAATCACATGTCAAAGTTTTTGTCACTATTTTCTGCACTAACCGTGGCATCAGGAATTTTTGCATAAGCCATCGGATTTACCAGATTTGCCCCCTGCGATTTTTTTCTGTTCCCAAGATTGAAGAGATCTTTGGAAGGACGACGTTTTGCTTTGAAAATTGCTTCGAGGATTGGAAAAAACGCAGACACAAGTGTATTACATCTGAGGTGAACTTTTTCGAAGGGAAGAAAATAAAATAGATGGGAGAAAAATAGAGAACAGACTAGTATAGTAGACACAAAAGCGAATTATGTATTAGTCAATGTCCATACCAAAAAATCATTATTTCACATGTTCTCTCCATCTTCTCTTACCTTATCATATTTTGATGTTCCTCAAGTGTTTGATATATTTTTTATAAGATACAGTCTTGATAGAGATAACCCTCGGGAAATCAATTTCCGGTCGGTAAAGGAAAGTGGTCGTTAAAAAGAAGTAAACAGTTTGGTTTTTTAGTTGATTATTTTTCAAGATATTCAGGTATTATTGACTGTTTCGTATTTTTGAATTTACCTTTCTGAAATTTCAATTCCCATCTTGATAACAATTAGGGTTGATATATCTCTAGACATTTCAAAATTGTTCAAACCATAATTGAAAAAGTTTTCTAAATCTCTTTGAGGTTTGCGATATTCTACACTGGAACTATTTCAGGTTCCTCTTTCTCAGTTTCAAAGTTAGGTGTAGATTTCTCCATATCCGAAATCTCTCCAATACAGTTGATGATGGTAAATTCGGCACTTTCTTTTGTTGCATTGTAATCAATATTTGCGAATTTTTACAAGTTTACAAACCTATCCTTCATGGTGGTCTTTCGGTTTTACTGTATTAATAAACATATACCCATTCTAAAATCAGCTCTCTGCGTTTTTCATCAAACAGATCCTCTCAATATTCACATTATATTTTTGAGAGGAAGTTATGAAAAATTCACTCAGTAGAAATTTACCTCTTAGCACAGTCGTTTTCGAATTTTATAAGTGATGATCCTGAATCCCCATCTGTGATAAGCTTTTATTATAAATATTTTTTTAGGGTTCTGCCCTTCCTTTTGAATCACTCTATCTATTTAAAAAACCTGCATCAAAAACGGTTGCGTAGTTCTAAAGATATAAGCATACATAGGGACAGACAGCGGGAAGCGACTTTGTTTTTATACTATGTATTCTGAAAATGTGTTTTTTAGACGATGATGAGTTCTGTAAAATTGAATCTTTATTAATGATATTGACTTCTTCTATACCAAACGAAGACTATACCGTCTAACTGAATTGAAATTTCAACGTTTGCTGCATCTGTGGCTGCTCATGTTTTGAGATTCAAATCCAATATGAATTCCTACTTTTTCACAGGCACCGCTCGGAGAGTGCCTTAAAGATTTTCCTGTAACGCTTGTGTTTTGTCCTTAAAAAAATCTCTAAAGGGCGCTTCTATTTTCCATAATTTCAAAAGTAGGTTTAATTTGAAGAAATAACCACCATATTTTCTCGAAGTCAACTCAACTATAATTGGAGACTAAATTAATGAAACATTTCTGGCCTTAATTTGCACGGGTAACAATTTGTGTCGAATATCATTACCCCAAAATAAATTCAGTCGCGCCACTGATGGGCACCCCTTCATTAGCCCGTCATTACAATCTGCAATAGCGCTGTCAACACTTACATTTCAATAAGATTCAATAAAAGTCTCCACTCTATTTCAATAGTACTGTATTTACTTCTCCCCTATTTTTATCTCCACCCTTATAAAAGTAGTGCGGTGTGTATTTAGGAGCATTATTTTCTAATTTCTATGATCAAGAAGGAAGAAAAAATGTCAACCAAGGGTTGATTTGTTTTGAAATTTTATACGAAATATACAGGGAGTTGGATGAACTTGACATCGTAAATCTGTTTAAAAAAAAATCTGTTCAAAATCTGTTTTTCCGTTAATCAGCTCTCGCCCCCATACGAACGACGACCCTTAAGTTGAGAAACTTGTGCGGGCTAAGGACTAACGAGGTCTTACCTTTCAACGTGTGATTCCTGACACGGTTTCTTATAATAGTTCAGCTATAAGAGGGAAGTTTAATTACAAGACGTGCGATAGTTCTGAATATTTCATATTATATAGGATGGTTTGTAAGTGTTCGAATGTAAAATGTACAATTTTTTCACTTTCACACCGCCATCATCCTGAAAAACTAAAAAATGTGCACTTTTTCGATGCATTTTAGCTTTAACAGAGTTCCACATATAATATTCTAGACTCTAGAGGATATAATTGCTTCTGAGACTGAATATAACCTCTTCAATGAAATTAAAAAAGTTGAAAATTCGTACTTTCTGAAAATTTATGACACTGCTGATTTTAGGATACTTTACTCTAGTTATAACTTACTACAGAGTAAAAAGTAGGGAAACAAATGATTTCTTCAAATTGGAATATTGAAACATCCATCTCTTCCAACTTACCTACATAGTAGGTTCTGTTGAATGCCGGCTGGAAGCAACTAGTTCCCTGGCTAATACCACGATACAAACAGTATTCAATGTGTATAACATTTGGTGTAGGATTAACTGTCGTCAACAAATCAATTTCGTCTTGTGTGGAAGCTATTTTGCGACTTTTTTGGCCGTGGTCCGCGGGTTTTTATGCCTAATGTTTCGTCTACTACTGCGGTAGACATAATCAAAGGCGATGTGGTTTTATATTATTATCAGTGGGCATGACTTGGTTCCTCTGAACTGGATTACCTGACTTTGTTTGTGTACCTCTAAAGATAGGTAGCCAGATTTCATTGATGTTCATTGCCTTTTTTATTATTGAAATTATTCCTGTTTTTGAATTTTCATTTTGAGTTTTATTGAGTATTACCGTATCTTTGAATGAGATAATGTGAGTGCCTTCTTTGTTGGGAGCATGTTGGGCTACAGCTGATTTGTCGGTTTATCCGAGTAGACAATTCCTCTTGTCTTCAGAGGGCTGGGCTCAGTATGTGGAGTGTACTCCAGATCACTAAGCCTAAGGATTAAGTGCGAAATGGGAAAAATACCAACGTGGTTGAAACAGAACAGAATTTCTGGCAAAAACATAACAATCAGCACTGATAGTAAACAAGCCCCATTAGTCTTGAACAGACAACGTGTAACCCTCAGGGCTAGTACTAGAGTTCCACCAAAACTTATTCAAAGAGTGTGTGTGTTCGGCGAGTCTTAGCCTACACCTGATAATATAAAGGAGATGTCTCCTAGTGACCTGTCCACGTTCCTGGAAAGGACAGGATGGACGATGACCTAGGAGACCAACTCCTCGGGAGGATGTACAAGGAGTCACACAACAGATACAGAGATAGACAGCCGGATACCTACACTTTTTTTCGTTGTTCCAATGTATACCGACCCGCCGCTACAAGGACCCCGGGTGCTAAAGGTTCTCTGGGGTCGCTAGCTGACCTTAGACTTTGATAGTTTTTGTTGGCCTAAACATTGGTTCCACGTCGTGTTTCTCTAACATTCTCTCCCATAGGGAAGGAAAGCTTTTACCTTGACCAGCCCAGCTGGGGTAACTTTAGCGCTCAAATGCTTTTTTGCCGTACCCATTCCCTTTAAAGGCATTCTTCAGATGATTGAGTTCCTCTGGCAGACTCTCGGGTTAGCAGGTACATCGTGCTCTCTCTGTTCTGTTGTGGCTGGTGTTTAGAGATTTGAATTTTATCTTGAATATTTTTGAAGTTTGTGATTCCTCCAACTATTTCAAAGTGGCCACTTTGCATCATACTATCAAATGAAGTGATCAGGAGTGGAAAGGAAACTGGTTACTTTTATATTTTCAATTCATCAGTGTAAGAATTCAGTTAAAATAACAAACAATAAACTTACAGTGAACAATACAGTAGATCACAATACATTTATATTATAATTCATAACTACACAAACTCAATAAAAACTCTAATCACATAAATATGGACAATATATCAAATACAAGTTATTTTTTGAGGCGGAAATGAGTTTTCGATGGATCTTTATGGGAATTCTCACCTTTCACAATCTGAAAAAACTGTAGTGGAGAACAGGTGTTGTCACTTCGATAAGTTACTGCGACATCTCAACGTCTGCCGAGAAAGTTTAAAAATTAGTCAAAACAAAGAGGAAAAACTGCTAGCTATAATTAACGATTTCAGTTCGGAGAAAAAAGATAGTTTTTGGCCTCAGAAACGTTGAGATAAGTGTCTGTGCAATTTTTAGCTGTTTTTTTGATGAGCAACATTGTTAATTACAATAAGTTACTGATAAATATCATATTTTTCCTTCATGAAAAGTATATTGAGTTTACGAACCTGTATAGAGTTATTCATAATATTTTTTTCCGAAATGAAGAAGGTAGAATCTCCAGTAAAGTCTATAAAAAAGTTGAAATTACATACGCCTTCCACAACAGATAATATACAGGGCGTCAATTTGAAAAGTTCCAGTAAACATAATGAGGAATCGGAAAAATAGGTCAAATTTATGCCCTAGGAGGAGTAGATGTTACCCTTGGAATTTTTAATATGAAGGAGGTCAAGTGAGATACATCATTCTGATTGGCGTACAAATCTGCTTCCAATGGTACTCTGAGTTCATATTTTTTGATGATTTTGATTTTTTTTTAAATTACCTCCATAAGAGACTGTTTAAAAATTCAGGAAGACCTTGCTAGATTTGTAATATATTGTGATACGAATAAGCTGAAACTCAACGTGGGAAAACGTACATGTATTTCGTTTTATAGAAATCATTCACCCATATTGTTTCAGTATTTGTTGAATAGTATTGCATTAAACAGAGTAGAATATATCAAGGACCTTGAAGTATACTTTGACACAAAATTGAATTTCAATCGCCATGTTTAGTATGTCATAAATAGAAGCAACAGAATACTGGGTTTCTTCAATAGAATGTGCAGAGACTTCAACAACGAAGCCGCTATTAAAACTATCTATTATGCATTTGTTTATAACAAGTTGAATTTCGCTAGCATTATATGGAATCCTTGCTATAATACATTCAAATTGCGTTTAGAACGACTGCAAAATAGGTTTGTTAGACATCTTCATTACCGAATCACTAATGTCTATGTAACTCACGGTATTAATCAAATCCGTAACTATTATAACATTCAGCCTCTAGAACAACGGAGAATCACTTCGGATCTAGTGTTTGGCTATAAAATTTTAACGAATCTTATTGACTCGCCTGAGTTGATAGCAATGATGTCCTTCCATGTACCCCAGAGAAACACAAGGAATAAATATTTATTAGCTACTTCCACATATAACACCAATGTGGGGAAAAACTCTCCAATAAATAGAATTACAGACTCATTCAACAGATACTGCTCCAATTTGGACGTTTTCTCCATGTCCCTACAAATGTATAAAAGTAACATAAGAAAAATATTCAATTTTTAATCATTTATGTTTTAGATTAAGCATTTAGATCATTTACCTGTTGAACGCCAGTTTTGTTAGCACAATCTGTATTTTAGTGGATACTTGTTTGGGTTCTTTTACCTGTATGTGTCCCGAATTTAGGATAAATAAATAAATAAAATGAGCATTTTCCAAAAGATGGCGTTCTGAACATACACATGTAATTAGAATTTGTATTGAGGTTTTTGTATCCAATATTCAGTGCTAGCCACACTATTAATCAAATCGCCTAAGCTCAGATATTCACATTTACAATTTTCTTTTCCAGCATAAGATGAGTCAAAATGTATCTCACGATTTTTAACTATTTACCAATATTATTGGTTTTTACGGAAGCGAGAGGACCTCATCATCCTAGAGGAGAGAAAATTGTTAAACGACATGTTCATTATAAGCCTAGTAAGGAAACTAATGAAAAGTTGACTGAAGATGTACAACTATTACATGATAAAGAGCATTTACAAGTGAGTAAAATTCATCAAGAATAAAATTTTTTTTGAATCTACTTCTCCATCAATATATAAAATGTTGGGAATTTTCAAAGGCAGAATATTGATACCATATCAATGAAACTAGCAGGGAAAATAATAATATGGAAATTAGTAATGGTATTGTTGAAAAATAAAAAATTGAGGTGGCGAATGAATTCAATTGCCATATTTTCCAAATAATACAGCACGATAAGATATACATATTCATCTTGAGAGTGTTTGTTATCAATTTGCATCTATGTTTCAAACAGTCACTAAATTCTCAGAAATAATTGACGTTTTGGTCTTAATCTGTCTCTTGCAGTGGCATACGGAAATTATACTGAAAAAGATGAGAAAAAAATGATGATAAAATATATAGAATTACAACTCGACAACAATGTTTTCGTTTTAATGCAATTATATTTCTGAGAATTCAGTGCCTACTATTATGGAATTGTGATGGTTACAAAAATATTGGTCCCTGGTATCTTGTTAGAAAATGAAGTCAACTTATTAAACATCAAACTATCCAGTATTCAACAATAATTAAAGTTCATACATTGAGCGATAATTTTGTTTTACTTTTTTTTCATTGTAAATTATAATTTGGTTAATAGTTTGACTTAAGAGTACATTTGTCTTCCAGTACCGATTACCCTTCGCATTCACCATATATTCGCTTATTTCAGATCTTTGTGTATTCCAGTAGACAAAACTCCTGAAGTTGTAGTTGTTTGACCACTTTTCTCCGGATTTATTTACAGAGGTGTAACGAACCACACTGTTGGTTCGAATTATGTTCTGTTATGACTTTCCCTTCTCCAACGGTCATAATTCGATACAAGATTGTGTTTATAAATAATAATAATAATAATAATAATAATACTCTTACGGTATTGACGAGACACCGGTGTTGCCCTACAATCCGGGGGATATTGAATCCGTTGTGGGGAACGAGAAGTGCCGAATTTATTGGAACTATTCGTTCCCCACCCTCAGGCTCATACAAGCTAATAAGCCTGATGTAGTCCTTCTCGACCACCAGACCAAAACGATATTTGTCGTGGAGTTTTCAGCTCCTGGCGAGACGAATATCGTCAGAAAAGAGGAGGAAAAACGGATAAAATATCGAGATTTTCTCTTCGAACTCCGCAGACTCTATCCAGATCACTCTGTCAAGATGGTCGTTCTGATTGTTGGAGTCCTTGGTGGAATGATGTCTTCTCTACTCTCGAATCTCAAAATCATACCGGCTTGCCGCACTAAGGCAGAAATCTTAGCCGCACAGATGCAGAAGGCTGTCATTCTTGGCTCACTGCGTTTGCTCAGGGCACACGATTCTCGGACCCAATGATAACTTACCCCACGGCGTGGGGAGTGGTCATTGGTTGATTATGCTGGCGCGCCCTCCCAAATGTATCGGGGCTTCGGGGGATAGGGCCTGACCAGCGCACACTACGGTGGAAAAAAAAAAAATAAAAAAAAAATAATAGTTTATTGAAATAGGAAACCTAATTTACATACAAAAATTACATGTAAAAATATTAAGAAAAGCATTTACGTTGACTTTCAGACAAGACCAATATTAAAAGATACAAATAAAAATAAGAATACAGGTAGTTACATACAAATTCATCTAAAGACAAAACAATACAAAATATAAAATTGGTATCAAATTCAGTTCACAATTTGTAATAATAATAATAACAGTTTATTGAAAATAGGAAAACATAATTTACATACAAAATTACATGTAGTAATATTAAAAAAAAATTATTAGTAACTTTCTGACAAGACCAATATTAAAAAATACAAATAAAAATAAGTATACAGGTAGTTACATATAAATTCATCTAAAGACAAAACAATATAAAATATAAAATAGGTATCAAATTTATTTCACAATTTGTATGAATCTGATAAGGCGTCTGATATGGCCATAACGTCTCTAATCTCCTTCAGAAGAATTGCCAATGTTCGAGGCTGATATTTATTTTTCTGGATGGCTCTGGATATATTTCATCGATGAAAGGGATTTTTTTCAATATGTTTTTTTCAACTCTTTGTACAGTAAAGCCACCTTCCTTGTATGATGAAGTTTTATATCAGAACAACAGTTTGGCCGCGAAGATACTTCGAACTGTTCATTTCGCTTTCGTCTGTAATGAAAAAACTGCATTTTTCGTCGATTTTGCATCTGGCAGGTATTCTTATAGAAGCTGATTTTCTATCTTCTACAGAGGTAACTGACATATCCACAAAGTTTTGTTTTCGACGTCGACCGAATATACTCGATATTATCACAACTTTATTTATCGAAAAAGTATTTTGGTGTATCATGGATTAACTTTGAAACATCTCAAGATTCATTTATTCATAATTTTTTTTGGTTGCTACCCTTTCCAAATTTTCTTCAATTATTTCCATCACAGTTTCACTAATTATGTATTGAACAGTTTTCAGTTTTGTCATATTGTTCATCATAGATGTCTCTAGAAGTTTCTGATAGCAAAATGTGCGTTGCATTTCCCAATATTCGACGTAATTGCTTTTCTATTTTCAGCATTTTCGTCATGATATTGATGGATTTTCTATTGCACTTATGACATTCTTCACCATCAACAAAACTCCTTAACGGTTTTAGAATGTATTATATATATTTATTTGAACAATATTTGCCGCATTTAATATTTTTCATTGGTGAACAGTGTGTCGCTTCAACATCCCACATACATAAAATTTGATGATTGATTTCAAAATATCCTTCTGGTAGATAGTTAGTGGTTCACAGATGGATCAGAAACACCGGTTCTGGTGCAGGTGTTTTCAGTCGCAGACCCAGGACAGAGATATTAACCTATACGACTGTATTTCAAGCGGAAATTTACGCTAATTGTTTGCGGAGAGATTGGAAGAATCCAACCTCATACACAAGTCATTAAAAATATCCTCGGTATATAGTCAAGCAGCGTTGGAAGTTCTTGGCTCCTACCGAGTAATGAGGCTTCTGACTCCCGTGCAAAGGTGGGTGCTCCATCGGACCAGAACCTGTCATTGGCATCGCTTTAGGCTTTGCTTAACAAGAATTGAACACCTGGATGGCAATAAGATTTATGGACTTCTGGCAGAATCTTCCAGGATTGGCTCGCTCCAAGGCGTTTATTCACCCTTCGAAGCTTGATACCAAACAGTTGTTGGACTACAGTAGGGATGAACTACGATATCTAACAGGCCTTCTTACTATTGTAAATGGGATGGATTCTTATTCTTTTATCGGTTTTAAAAATAGACTTTGACTTTTCTCGTAATGACTTTTAATTAATAATTTTTAACAACTGAACTCTACTCTATACAATAGTTACCAAAAACAAAATTATTCCTATAGGGAGATAAAATATTAACATCGATATATTATAATAAACAATTCCAACACTTACAGGTCACTGTCATTTGAATCATAATATGCAGAGACTCAAACTGTTGGACCTCTGTTTGGAAAATGATGAAACAGCAGAGCACATACTTTGTGCCTGCCCTGCTGGGGACTGAATTGGGTTTTTAGAGTTCGGCATAGACGTACTCGTATGTTCTGACCGGAAAGTCCACTCACCATACGAACTAATCGGCTTCGTTGAGAAGCTGGGTTTATTTGGTCGAGTGTGAATAGGTTTGAGCCACAATAAACCATTGCGGGTTGTGGTGGAGAGTCGAATAGACCCACTTACTCTGGACCTAACATAACCTAACCTAATCCTAACTTCTGGTAGTTTCATTCATTCTGTTGAATAATTCACTAAGTTTGTGATCTCTTGGATTTTTGTATCTTTGAAAACGTTCCACGAATTTTTGAAGCTTTACTTTTATTTATATATGCGAGCGCTTCCGACAGCTGACTGGTTAGGAAATGAGTGAAACAATATTTGCAGCAGGCCAATACAGTACTGTATTGTATACAATACTGTACTGTATACAATACTGTATTCTTATAACACAGATTCCAAGCTTTCGATAATCTTTATTATCATCATCAGGGATGCCACAATATGGATAAGAAGACATATTAGATCTATAAAAAGAGATCAGTCAAAAACCTAACTTACAGTGTATGTGAGGTTAGGCGGCACGACGATTAAAATATAAACACGGCATACATGAGTGTAGACACCAAAAAATAACCTCAGGAAGGTGGAGACAAACACAAATAATGTACATCATGAATGATATATAATTTTCTGAAAAAAGGAAAACCACCTGTTGTTCCTTGAAGAGGACATTGTGGAAATATCAAATTTTGAGGTTGATATATATCATGTAATCAATTCAAACCTGTATTAGTTCTCATTTTTTTCTGTGATGTGCTAATCATTCATATTGTAAATGGGATGGATTCTTATTCTTTTATCGGTTTTAAAAATAGACTTTGACTTTTCTCGTAATGACTTTTAATTAATAATTTTTAACAACTGAACTCTACTCTATACAATAGTTACCAAAAACAAAATTATTCCTATAGGGAGATAAAATATTAACATCGATATATTATAATAAACAATTCCAACACTTACAGGTCACTGTCATTTGAATCATAATATGCAGAGACTCAAACTGTTGGACCTCTGTTTGGAAAATGATGAAACAGCAGAGCACATACTTTGTGCCTGCCCTGCTGGGGACTGAATTGGGTTTTTAGAGTTCGGCATAGACGTACTCGTATGTTCTGACCGGAAAGTCCACTCACCATACGAACTAATCGGCTTCGTTGAGAAGCTGGGTTTATTTGGTCGAGTGTGAATAGGTTTGAGCCACAATAAACCATTGCGGGTTGTGGTGGAGAGTCGAATAGACCCACTTACTCTGGACCTAACATAACCTAACCTAATCCTAACTTCTGGTAGTTTCATTCATTCTGTTGAATAATTCACTAAGTTTGTGATCTCTTGGATTTTTGTATCTTTGAAAACGTTCCACGAATTTTTGAAGCTTTACTTTTATTTATATATGCGAGCGCTTCCGACAGCTGACTGGTTAGGAAATGAGTGAAACAATATTTGCAGCAGGCCAATACAGTACTGTATTGTATACAATACTGTACTGTATACAATACTGTATTCTTATAACACAGATTCCAAGCTTTCGATAATCTTTATTATCATCATCAGGGATGCCACAATATGGATAAGAAGACATATTAGATCTATAAAAAGAGATCAGTCAAAAACCTAACTTACAGTGTATGTGAGGTTAGGCGGCACGACGATTAAAATATAAACACGGCATACATGAGTGTAGACACCAAAAAATAACCTCAGGAAGGTGGAGACAAACACAAATAATGTACATCATGAATGATATATAATTTTCTGAAAAAAGGAAAACCACCTGTTGTTCCTTGAAGAGGACATTGTGGAAATATCAAATTTTGAGGTTGATATATATCATGTAATCAATTCAAACCTGTATTAGTTCTCATTTTTTTCTGTGATGTGCTAATCATTCACATTATACACGTACATATTTTTGAAAATTTAAAAATTAAATCTTATTTTTCAAACATTTCAATTTTATAATAACTGGCTCATTACCTTTTTTTGGGACGGAAGATTTGTAACTTTCTACTTCTACATCATTAAAACACTTCAAATGAATATCTAACTACCACCGACCAATACCACCACCCACAATCACTCCAACCCCTATCCCACCGAAGACTGTTCTTCTCCTGAGGGTAGTAATAGAATGGCGGAAGAGCAAAACCCCCAAATCTCGCAAATCCTCCGTGGTATCTTCCTAGGCCTCCTCGAAATCCTCTCCCGAATCCTCCCCCAAATCCTCCTCCAAATCCTCCTCCAAATCCTCCTCCAAATCCCCTTCCAAAGCCTGGACGAATTCATGGACGAAACACTCAAAAATTATGCAAACCGCAGGCACGTGTTTATAGCTTATCAGATGTCATCAGGACGGTAGAGCTAAGTGCAAGGTTAGGCAACACTTGGTTGCAGAAGTTTTGGGTTGTGGTTTCGAAACCACAATGTGCAGCTAGCTTCTGTTGATGTCAGTCACTCAAAGTGATGTTTCTGCAACACCGCACTCGGCTGCATCACGTTGATGACAGCTAATGAGCTAGACACGTTATTGCAGTTTGCATATTTTTTTGAGTGCTTCGTCTATAAATTTTTTCTGCTTTTGATCATACATATAATATGTGAGTAGGTATATTTATGTGTACTTATGTATAGAATATAAGGAATTGTGAAATTAATTTTCGAATCAACTGGTTTATTCTTAGCTTGTTTGCATGTTGTCAGAAGAAAGTTAGAAAATGTTTGAATTACCTACTAAATTTTTGATCGTAATTTATAAAATATAGTATTTTCTCAATATCCTTCTTTTCGGTATTCTCTGTAACGGAACAATTCCCAATTAAATAACTATTAGTAGGTAGCCACTTGAATAACAAAAAAAGAAGCAAATTTCTACTAAAAAAATCACTAAAATTAATATTTCATATAGAGTCCTAATTATTTCATTTTGAAGGAACATTTAGAGGACGTCATTCCCGATCCAGACTTCTCTAAAATGACGGACGAAGAGTTGGAGTTTTATTATTTCCAAGTTCACGACACAGATAAAAACTCCAAGTTGGACGGTCTTGAAATATTACAGGCTATAATTCATACCGATGAACATAATGACGCTGAGGGGAATGATGGAAATCACGTATCTTCCACTCAAAGTTCGGATTTGAGTTATTATATTGGTAAGGTAATATATATACAGCTTGACTTCTTGAAACTAATTCAAATGACAAATAAAAGAAATAAGAATTAAAATATTTCAAGCCAAGTTTCGAAGTTGATTTTGGATACGTTCAGGCTTTTTCAAAATTGTGACTGTAAGCAGCACAAATCTGCAATTTTTGAGTTATTTTTTTTAATTTCATTGATATCCATATTTCTATTCCACTACATCTTTTAGTGACCAATTGAACTTTTTCAGAATTGATTGATCAAGTGCTAGAAGAAGATGATGCTGATCATGATGGATATTTGAGTTATTCAGAATATGTGGCCAGAAGAAGAAATCAGTATAAAAATATTGAAGTAGCCAGGTCGCCTGGAGTGAAAATAGTGTGACCGAAACATGTCAAGTTTATATGATGATAGTGACAGCCATAATTTTTCATCAGATGTTAAATAAAATTTCACTGCGATATGACCTCCGAAGTGAATATTTATTTGTTAGATTTTTATACTTTTCAAAAATTCGTTGGTTAGCACATATGGGAATTTATGTTTTAGTTCATCTTCAAACTCTAATTTCGAGGTAACGAAATGATTTGGTTCGGTTGACAGCTAATAGCTCTTCATATCGATAGAAAAATTCAAAATCATAGTCTACACTACCGCACAATGAGTTCTAGTTATTTCGACTTGTTTTTTGTTCTGAATATACGTAGTCATCATATATGTAACGTAATCAAAGAGGATGTATCACTTTGCGCTTATGTTATATACTTTTGGCTAAGCCCAAATTGCGAATAAAAGAAGTTCTTCATTCCTTTGTCGGGAAGTTCTTGAGAAAATTCCATTGATATTTAAACATATTTCATTTGAATATATTTTCGTTAGAAATTCTAATTTCCAAACGACAATTGTATACTTCACTGATTTTAAACAGATTATAATGTCATCAGTAATTGTTACAATACAATTTCTTTTCAAAAAATAGATATCGACGAAAAATTCAGTTATGAAATAACACTTTCGAATTATCTGATTCAAGATATCGTAAAAAATGTATGATTGAAGCAAAATTATGTCGAATATTCTTGCAGTGTAGAAAAGATATGACAAAGAAAAACTACTACAGAAAACAAAAAAAGTTTTATTAACAATGAAGAATATCGTACTTGTTGTAACCTATCGATACATCTTACAAAACATCTCTCTAATCAATTATTCACTCAGAAATCATATATTGTATCCGAGGTTCTAAAAATAATCATGTATTTGTCCTACATTCGTAATCGCTGCACCTCCCTCCTGCTAAACCAACGTTGGAAGCCTCTTCCATTTCTTGCAGTATATAGTTATAGTCCATATTAGTTTCTATTTTGAACATTTTTGATATCTTCAAAAGTAGGTCTCCTGCATTTATGTATTTCTTTGCTTGCTCAGGTTGCTGACAGGCTATATTCTGAAGGCAACCAGGAGAACCTTAAAAGGTAACACTTAGTATTACTTCCTGCAATCATTGGATAATATTTGTGGCATTCTGTGCGCTTTAAAAAAATCAATTTGAAAATGACGTTTATATTTAATGTTTGAAACCAGCTTTACAAAAAGGCAAAACGTGTTTCGCTATACAATAGCTTCCTCAGGCGTATATACATGCCATATGGATTCTCAACTAACATAGTTTATTGTGACTTCCACTATGATAGATTCACAAAACTGTGACACGTGTTTCGCTATACAGGGTGGGCCATCGAAAACTTGACATGGAGGTTTTGGGTACGAATCTTGTAAATCCAAAAAACCGCTCAGACAGGTCGATTTTCATTGGCAGGGGGACAGTTTTTTCCCATTTACAGCGTCGTCACTTCAACCCCGGAACAGAGGGGTGAACAACCCTTGGAATTTCAATAGGGAACTGGGGGCGAGTCGCAAATCGTTTGAAAGATCTTGGAATTCATTGAACAACAGTGTACATTTTTTTTAATTTGGACGAACCATATTAAATTTAGAGTTGAAATTACTTACTTTATTCTCATGTTAGCATATGCTCAAAATGGGCACCTCCAGCTTCCATGCAATAATAGAGATTCTGCTGGAAACGTTCTCGAACATTGTGAAGCATTTCTGGAGTGATTTGGCGACATTCATTTGTAATTCGTTGCTGTAAATTTTCGAGTGATGCAGGAGGAGTGCAGTAAATTCTGCCTTTCAAATGACCCGACAGAAAGAAAGCTAACGGCGAAAGGTCTGGTGATCTTGGTGGCCATTCGATAGTACCCCGCTTCCCAATCCAGTGATCTGGAAAAGTCTGATCTAAATACTGCCGAACAAGCAGAGCATAGTGCTGAGGAACCCTATCTTGCTGAAATATTAACAGATCCTCCCGATAATTTTGGTTATTTTCAATAATATCAGTGAGAAGGGGATTGATAGTATCTTCCAGAAGCTTCAGATACGTTCGTCCGGTTGAATTGCGTTCTAAAAACAGTGGGCCAACAATACGGCCACCAAAAATTCCAGCCCACACATTTAATTTTTGTGGACGTTGAGTATGCACACTAACCAACTCGCAAAATTGCAAGCGTCTATCGGAATCATCTTCATTCAGTTCTTGCGTTAATTTAATCTTGCAAGGATGCATTTTGTGGGTTTTTAAAATACGCCGAATGCTAGTTCGTGACACCCCGGAAACAAATGTTAACTTTCTTATGCTCAAAGTATGGTCAAGCTCAACATGGCCCAGAATTGCCCAGTTGCGCGAAGTTATGCAATCAAACCAAAAACATACTGTCGCAGCACATTCTTGCCATGTTGTTGATTGACCAGTTCAGCGGCTCTCGCAGCACATACGTCTATTTCCATAATACAGTTCAATCAAGTCAACCCTCTCCGCAGTTGTGTAAACCAATGTTTCTTTATCAATACTTTACAGCACTCACTACTAGTAAAAATGTAAATATCACTTTCAACATAAAAATGAGAAATAGAAACAGCATTTTTAACCATTACTAAATTTTAATATAGTCCTTTTATCAAAGAAAAACTGAAAAATTAACAAAAAAGTAGCGTAAGAAACAAATAAAAGAGTTCCAAATACATTTCAACTGAGCAATGGCGTAGAACAATTTGTTGCTATTAACAATATTGAAAAAGTTAATAATCGGAAATAACTCTGTAAAATACGTCCAAATTGAAAAAAAATGTACACCAATGTTTAGAGAATTCCAAGATCTTTCAAACAATGTGCAACTTGCCCCCTATTCCGTGACGGCGGGGTTGATTATGATAAACTCTAACTGCCGTTAGAGTTTATCATAATCAACCCCTAGTTAGCAAACTTTTCGGAAGGAACCACTTGAAGTGTTTGTAAGCAAGCATTCGGATCAAATCCGTAATCGGCTCGACCTTTGCTATGTCTCGTAAACGCTCCAATGAAATGTATCGATCATTATCAGTCACGATACGAAGCACCTTATTCTACATCGTCTCGAGTCTCCGTAACGGAGTCCTCTCAAGGATATAGAACACAGGACACTCGTACAACATAGCTGGCCTGATAATTTGCTTATATATCAGGAGCTTGTTGTCCACACTCAGTTTGTAATTTCATGCAATGAGAGGGTAGTTTCGTTTAATCGCCGCTTCCGCTCTCTGAATTAACAGACTCAAGTGCTCATGAAAATTCAAGCGCTTGTCCAGGATAACTCTCAGATACTTCGCAATTTTCTGTTCTTCCACACATTTTCCTTGAATCGTCAATTTCCTGAAAATCTTCACGTCGGTGAATTTCTTCGTGAAATTGACAAGTTCAGTCTTTGACGGATTTAGTCTTATCTTATTCCTCTCCTTGTACGGTACGACTAACCTGTCCAGGTGAATCTGTATTTGGCGTGTTGCCACCTCACTAGAGTAAGAATGGGCAGTATCATCTGCATATATGCCTACATTCAATTTTGCGAACATTGGAAAGTCATATATATATACAGAGAGTATAGGTGTGGGGATAAACAGGACCCCTGCGGAACACCTGCTTCCATTGAAAAATTCGTAGAGATAGCTTGATGTAGTCTTACCCTAAATCTCCGGTTGACCAGATGAGAATCCAGGATTCTTATCATGTATCAAGGTATGTGTGCCGTCCACATTTTCGCCACATTCATTCCGTCCACATTCTCCTTCAATCAATCAATCGATCAAACTGTACTTTATTGTCCAAGAATAATTATTCTTATTGACAAAGTGAATAAATAACAATGAAGTGGATATCCACTGTGTCCAATACATATGAGACAAAAAATATGAAAATATAAAATGTAAAGAGCATACAGTCTCCATAATGAAAAGGCATGTAAGCGTAAGAATTTGATGCTTGATGAATAGTGGTCTACAGTGATCCCTTGCTTTGGCCTTGTACAAATAACGGATTGCTCTCTTTTGTAGAATGAACACAGAATTCCATAAGGTTTTACTACAAAAACCCCAAAAGGGTAGTCCGTATCTAACATGGGATTCTATGAGTGAAAAATATGTGTTTCTGCCAATAGCTGTACCAAGCTCGTTTGTCACTACTCTAATAGCATAACAGCCCGATGCTAGTCTTTTTTTCAAGGACGTTATATGTTCCACAAACCCTAACTTTCTGTCAATGTGTATACCCAGGAATTTAGTGCTCGTTTTGTTTTCTACTTGATGTGTTCCTAAGACCAAGTTTTCGAATTCGAATTTGAAGGTAATTCTATTAGTTTTTTCCTTCTGGTGAAAGGCCTCCTTTATTTCGTGGACCAGTCGGACAAGTTGCGAGGTCGTGTTAAGACCCTGCCTGAATCCAAACTGTTCTTCCGGAACAAGTTTCAACCTGCCTCCAGACGGAGAAGTCTGCTCAACAGGATCTCATCCGCAATCTTGGCGACCGAGCTAAGTAGCGAAATCGGTCGGTAGCTCTCTCTTTGGTTTTCCGGTTTTCCCGACTTATGAATGAGTATTACCTCCGCGCGCTTCAGGCAGTCTGGGTAAGGTTGCAATCTGATTATCCCGATTGTACGAGACCTTTGCGCGGCAGGTTCCAGAATAGAATTGCTCCAATGCCATCGCTTCCAGGTGCCTTGTGTAGTGGCATGCGTTTTGTAGCGTCTCTCACCTCCTCAAAGTCGGTGAGGATCTTAGCAAGATCTTCACCGTTCAGGCGTGGCGGAGGCACTGAACGCACTCTCCTTGCCGTCTCGGTGATGTTTCTATGCTCTTCGGTGCTGTCTGGTGTTGTTCAGTGAACCTCGCTTACCTGTACATATGACCTTTTACTACAATAAAACCGTTGATGGGCTTATATATGCACAAAACAAGTATCGCCCAAGATTTTCAGATATGAATTTGTGTAGAGGATATTCTATTTTCGTCTTCAAAGCAGAATATTCACACTACTTCTAGAATGTACTATATCTTCAACATAATCATATTCGATTCATGATTGATATGACAGTAAAAACCAACCTTTTAAGTAATATATGATATTTTTCGTTCAACCTCACCTGACAAATAGCTCAAGAACATCAGTACCTCCTCATCAGTAACCAATTTTTCTTCTCCATCTATTGTCCTAGCGAACCCACCTTTCAAATGGCCGGCACCCAAAGAACCCGCTGCGAAAATAAGAGCTTTCAGAAGTACCAGTACTAGAAGATTGGTAAGATTGAGAGATACAATTTGGGAAGAGCCGGCTGGTCCTGTGACTCCATATCCTCTTGCCATAAAGTTTGTAGCCAAGGTAGTTAGAACGCCTTTCGCATCCAAACCCCTCAAGAAATAAAATATGAAAATTATAAGGATATGAATAGTATTGGGAAAGAAGCTTTCTGGGTTTCAGTTCTCTATATTTATACAAAAATTTGAGGGAAACTTCCAAAGGAAGGAAAGCAATTCAGTTTGGAATTAACTATTCACAAAAATGTGCAGATCCTACATAGAACTCACTTTCAGACAAACATTGAAAGGAAAAGCTCTCCCGATACAACTACTTTCGCAAGAACATTGAAATATATGTATGGGCGATTTCAATGTGGATTTGGCAAATTTCAATAGTTTTTCTGTTCGGAAGTTGAATGAATTATTTATGAGTACTGGGTTGAAGCAGATAGTTAACTTTCCTACAAGAATATCTCAGAGATAATTGTTTCAGATCAATGCCAAGTTACAAATTGTAGTTCTCTCCATGTTCCACACATATCTGACCATGATTTGGTTTATTTTACCCTCAACCTGATTGGTGAAAGTGAAAGCAACAAAATTATTAAGTACAGAGACTTTAAAAATATTGATGAAGATCAATTATATACTGATTAACAATCAACCCCGTGACACCATATTTATGGCTTGGATACCATTAACAAAAAAGTAACTTTTTTCAACGAGAACATGAACACCTTACTGGAATTACATGCGCCTTTCAAAACAGCTTTCATTAGGAAAAAACATAAACCGTGGATTATCGGCAATATTAAAATTATGATGAGAGAACGCGATAAAAAATTTAAAAAAAATTCAAACGAACCAAGAACATTCGCGATTTTGAAGAATACAAACACCTTAGAAATTTCACTGATAAATCAGTAGAGAGGGAGAAAAAACCCTATTTGAATTTTCACATAAGCAGGCATACTAATAATGCATGGGACACCTTAAAAAAACTCAACATATATTATAAGAAAAAGAAGAAACGATATTCCAGAACATCTTTCAGATGTGAATGATTTTTTCCTAAACTCGGTTCCCACTGCCGGTAAAGGCTCGGACTTTGAACAGTACTACAGTGGTCGACTTGTTGGTCCCGATGTAAGTTGGAGTTTTAGGCAGAATCGAGAATAACGATATTTTCAAGTATTTACTGGCAGTAAAAACAACGGCTGCAGGTGCTGACGGTCTCAACATAAAATTCATCATATTATGTTGCCCGTTCATAATTGAATATATCTCTCACCTCTTGAACTTCTGCATTGAATATTCAATATATCCAACTCAGTGGAAATTGGCTAATGTGATCCCATTACCGAAATGTGAGGTGGTCAGTGAGCTCAAAGACCTGAGACCAATCAGCAGCATTTTACCCGTTGTCTCAAAATTATTAGAAAGAAGTATAAAAGATCAACTTGCGGAAATCTTGAAAACATTTAATATTTTGCCGGATACTCAATCTGGATTCAGAAAAGGACATAGCTGCGCGACAGCCCTTCTGAATGTGACAGATCGTATCTTCCAGGCAACTGACTCGGGAATGATTACTGTTCTAGTTCTCTTAGACTATTGAAAAGCTTTCGATACCCTAAATCATTCTGCGCTGAAACATATTGTAAGATATATTGGACTCTCAGAAGCATCTGTTTTGTTTTTTGATAGCTATCTAAGTGGTCGAAAGCAATGAGTTGTACTCAATACTAGGGTTTCTCAAACAAGAGAACTGACATGTGGGGTTCCACAGGGATCCATTTTGGAACCAATTCTCTATGTAATTTCCACAGCATTTTTCAAAAATGTTGTCATCTACAAATGTATGCGGATGATACTCAGGTGATGTATTCCTTCCACCCATCAGACATAATGAATGGTTGTCAGAAAATCAACGAAGACCTCGATAGAATTTTCAAAATATCCAAAGATCATTCTCTCTCATTGAATCTAAACAAATGTAAGGCAATGCTGTTCGGGAGGCGAAATGACAGACTTCTTCACCAAAAAAATGTTTGTGTTACTATCAATAACATTCCTGTACAGTTTTGTGATGTGGTGAAGAATCTTGGGCTCTGGATAGATTACTCCTTACGATTCGAAAAGCATATATCGGAATGCATTCGTAAAAGTATCAGGAAACTGAAAATTTTGTTTGGATCTCGAGCCACTTTGAATTTGAATCTTAAAAAAATGCTTTGCGAGTCTCTAGTTCTTTCTACTTCTACTTATTGCGATACAGTCTATAGCTCTTGCCTTACGGCAACATCTACGCAAAAAATCCAGAAAATCCAAAACTATTGTCTCCGTTTCATCTATGGGATTCGTAGGCGTCAACCCATCAGTCATAAGCTACGAGAGGCCGGGTGGCTAAATATGAAATCTCACCGAAAACTTCACTGCTCCACCTTATATCACAAAATAATCACTACCCAAACTCCCTCCAACTTTATAGAAAGATTATGTTCCGCACTGACGTTCACAATCTTAATATAAGATCGAAAGGTACTATAACACCACCAATCCATAAATCATCATTGTTTGAGAGAAGTTTTTCCTATAATGTATCGACCACTTACAATGCTATTCCAAATGATTTTAAGAATATGAAACTCTCCTCCTTTCGAAAAAATTTGTTAGAATTTATGAAATTCTCTAATATCTAGAAAGCGGTTATTTGAATCAGCACATATATCTATAGTTTCACTCAATTCTCATTAGTTATCTGCGATCTTTTGTTCTTTTCTTCTGTTTGTCCAAAGGTTGAGTGGAAGACCATCTTTGTGCACTCCAGATGCTCAAGATGAACTCCGCCTTTTCAGTTTGCATAGGAAATGTTGTAGCGTATTTGATATTCCTATGGAAACGCTATACAATATAATACAGTTTGTATCTGGCAGTAACTTTCAGATATGATTCAAACATCTTTATAGAGAGTTCATTGTGAAGAGTTGAGAAGAAAATATTAGCACAAATCTGCAGTTTTTGAAAGCTTTTTTAAAATTTTATCGATATTCATATCTCTATTCCATTTCATTTTCTAGTTTCAAACAGAACTTCTTCACAATTATTGATCGATGAAATTCTAGAAGGACATGATGCTGATCATGATCGATATTTGAGTTATTCAGAATCACTGGGAATCAGAAGGAAACAGTGTGAAAATAGGAAAGTAGCCAGGTCGCCTGGAGTGAAAATAATGTGACCTAAAAATGTCAGTTTCGATGATCTATATTCTATATGATCTATATTATATTATCTATATGATCTATATTAACTCCAATCAATCAAGAATCCAATATATTGTTTTGCTTACAACAGCACATTTGTCTTGTTATCCCATTCAGATTAAAGGACATCTGCGAATGCACATCTTCACCGGCAGTAGGAGGTTGCATATCTTAATGAGGATCTAAAAGTAATTTCGAATTGAGTTAAAAGTAACCAGGTTCGATCCAATGTCACAAAAACCCAGGCATCGATTTTCTCCAAAGAAAAATGTCTCCGAACCGGATATAATAATGTCAGGTCAAACAATTTCACTTGGAACAATCATGTCGCTGGAATTGCAAAGGCTGCTTCTAAAAATCTTGGGACACTGTTCCAAAACAGAAAACTGTATAAAGCTCAGATCAGACCTTCTCAACTTAAAAACAACAACTTAAGAAAGATGAAGAGATTCACGTTCTGGCATTTACGTCACTCAAGCACTTGAAAAGTTCGAATATTTATAGTTGATCGTTTCAATGATGTCTTGTACGTTGTATTTGAGGAGTGACGATTTACAAATATATGAATTATCGTTGTTGAATTATTCAATTCAAGGGGATATGTTTTTCATGTTATTATGAAACATCTCCCCAGGAGAAAAGAGTAGTTGAGACCAACTCAACATTTACAAAACATTATCTGGCAGAAGGACATGTTCATTCATGTTTACGACATGGTACAGTCAAAAGAGAAAACTTGAAAACTCAGTATTTTGGTTTACTCAATTGTTCAAATCAGAAGATTTGAACAATTGCTCAATGATCAAAGAGATTTGATTGATTCTCCTTTCTCAAGTTTGTTTTTGAATAAAAAAAGAGAAACTACTCAAATTTTATTCTGAAGAATATGACAAACATCCAACAAGGGACTTGTACAAACTAGTACAGTAAACCAGATTGTTGGATAAGGTACAATTATTTTCATTATAGTCTATTTGATTAGTTTATTTCAAATAGTCGTAAATCTATTAGCAAGGTATTGAACCCTTGTGATTTGAAGAAGCATATAATTTAAATCAACTGAGTTAGTATAGAAAATGCCTAACAAAGTTATTGTAGTGTGAAACACCTGTCGCGGTTCATTAAAGTGTTAAGTGAAAATCTAAGATACCCATACTATAACTCCGAAAATATGTTGAAATTTCCCATAGAGGATACTATTCTACAGGGTATTGCAATTATCATCATTGGACCGACCCATCAGTCTAAGTTGCAAATGTTGGTATAGAGTTTCCTTTTATGTAGGTACAGGTTTATTTACGACCACTTAAAAAATTGGTATTTAATTTACTACTGTACTCTTTTTCTCTTCATTTTTTTAATATAAAAATAATGATAGTTTATTGAATGAATAATAGAACTCATGTACCTGCCGATATTGTTTGTATCCATGTCATCAACAGCCGCTGCATGTATTAAAGAAACCAATACTCCAGAGCACAACACAACTACTGCCAATTTGAAACACATCTCCAACCATATACTTAGTTGCCAGACACCAAAGGAATACCTGTTCCACTCATATCACTGAATTTATATTTCATTCGATTTCTGATTTTCCCTTCGTTTTCTTGCGTGAAAAAATCACAAGTGTAATGTTGTTATTCTATTGTTCAGTTGACATGTTCTATTGTTTCTGCTTTACGCTCCACATCAGGAAAAAATAACCGAGTTTTTCAATATATATAATGAAGAATAATGCTTTCTTTCATGCATTGATTGTTGCTATAACGTATTATGCAAGACGTGCTTACATTCACTCATTATTGTACAAATATTTCAGTAATACGTTGACACTTGAAAATATTGTAATTTGATATTCTTCAAAAGACATTTTTTGTGGAAGGCTCAATATTTCTCGCTATTTTTTTGTATATAACCTTCCACAATCTGAAAAATAAACAAAGTTGAATCGTTAGAGAATCTGCTGAAGTTCAATAAAGGGCAAATTAATGTTACTGTGTAATATAAACCACTGAAGAGTCCAATTAGTAGGTAACTTGTTGCACTCATTAATTTTGCCCATAAATAAAAAAAATCTATTTGAAAAAATTAAATTCCTATAATTTTTTTTGTTTTCAAAACCCAAAATTCACTTTAAAATTTTCGCGTCAAATTCTAAATAGCTGTATTTCTTTTGAGATACGTCAAGATAGTCTATTTGAGAGTTTAGTTGGAGTTCATATTTCCGTTTTCAGCCTCTTGGAAAACAGAAACGATCAATTTCCACAGAGCGTGATCACCAGATGATTTTAGAATATCTGCCACTATCTGTCTTCTCATATATTCACTATGTTCATTTTTTCTCACAACTAGGGTTCTTGAGGTTTCACCTATAAAACTTTTTCGTCAAGAACAACCTACATTATAACTACACTCTTTCGTTTCTCCAACCGTATTTTCAGGTTCAGTTTGTGTCAAAAGAGATCTCAACGTATGTTGTTAGTTCTTAAAATTGTTCTCACATTATACTCGTATCTATAACCGATCTATCTCAATCTCTCAGACATACCAGGAACATAAAGTATGACGTTGGTTGTGAGGTATGTGTATTGTTAAGTTTGTTTTGATTGTGAAATCTGTAACTACTTCAATGAATAAACTGATTGATTAATTGATGTTTTTCAGATATTTCAAATGTTGGTTTGAAAACATTTTTGACGATAGCGTCAAAAAAGGGATAGTTAGATGTTTGTATGAAGGGCCAAGACAGTTTGCAATTCAGTTCGTAATCTGGAAGAGAAATTAACTATCTTGAAAAATTTTTGGGGAAAACCCATATCCGGAGCAGTTTGTGGGAAGAGCTCTCAATGAAGTTGGTCAAAAAAATACACAACATATACAGATTTCTCAATCTGGAAGGGCTGTAGTGTTTCGAAAAATAATAAATTCATTTTATCCTGTCACCAAACTAAGAAACCTATTATATAACTCCAATTTTGTTTTTTACTGATATAAGTTCCATAAATTGAACTTGTTGGAATCTCTGGAAATCAATAAATTCAAACGTTCAAAGTTACTTTTGAAATATCATACACTTTTAATGAAACGCCAATGATTACCATTTCAATCAATTGTCTATTTTCCCATAAGTATTATTGTATCTAACTTGTTCGATTGATGACCTATTTATTTTTTAGAAATTCATATTGAATATAAAAAAACCGTTTGTCTAATTTCTACTAAGTTTATTATTTGTTACTTGTTACGACCAGTCACAACAAATAATAAACTTAGTAGAAATAAGACAGAAGTTATTTTCTTCATTCTATATTTGATATTGGATCTACTGTTATATAAAAGACATTCTAGAATGGTTTGGTATACCAGTTAATAATGAAATATTGTGTTTTTCAGAAATATTTCAAAATCTATCACCACGCTTATTGCTTGCTCTGTGAACACACAACTTTTTCTTTTCAAATAATATCTAAGAAAAATTATTTTTGGAGATGCTCAACTATGAGAAATACGTATCTTATATTTGCATAATATCCTATGAATTGTTGATTTCGATAATTTTGTCCCAAAGACAGGTCAAATATGTGGAGAGATATTCCAAATTATCTATCGCAACATTTTCATTATAAATGAAGTTTTCTTCACACCATTGCTTTGACAAATATATATATTAATAATTTGTTCACTTTAAACTCATGTGGAAAAATAATAAGTTTTGCTGATGACACAGCTATCGTATACCATGGGGAAAACTGGATCGAACTCAAACGAATAGTTGAAAATGACTTCAAGAAAATAGTAATGTGGTTTGATCATAAATTGCTGACGGTAAACTACAAGAAAATTACTTTTATATCTTTCGCCTATAGCAGGAGTGGTTTGCTAAATTTTGATAATCTAGTCATCGAAGATAACACAGGGGACACAAGCCAAGATGATGCGTGATCGGCGTCGATCACCGGTAGGCATGTGTGCCAGGTCCCGTTACCACATGTTGTTTGTTTATTATTGGAATTTGGACGACCAGTATATAATCGGCCGTCCACAATCGGTGTGTGTGCAATTAGCCTTAGGTGGGACGCTCATGTCAACTCTGTTACTCGCACATTGAGAAGGCTACTATTCAAATTTAAATATATTCAAACAATTGTTGATTTACCATAAATGAAAATCATTTATAGTGCACTTGTAGAATCAAGGTTGAAGTATGGTATACTTACCCTTCAGACGCACTATTCAAAGAGGGACTACTCCTCGAAATGAAGCAGCTCTACTTCATAGATATGTCATTCCAATTTAGAGAAATAAACAAGTAGTTTGTAGATCATCGATATTCCACCAGGTACAAAACTAATACAAATCTCAAAACAAATCCGACTACGAAAGCCCTAGCTCTAAGATGCCACACTTACCTTGCAGCAAGATTATTCAATACCCTGCCAACTGATAATAAATATGAAGCCAATAGCACAAAATTGTTCAGGACCAAAGTGAAAATGTGTTTGCTTGGTTCAAATAGAATGGATATTCGTAATTTGATCGATCCGAATAATAGTTGAGTCAAAAGAATATGTTACCTACCTATTTTGTTAGGAAAAATATGTGGTTCAAGGGGACATCAAAATAATCTAATATTCTTAATAATTTATTTCCTCTAATAATTTTTTCATTGTATTCATCTTATCATACTTTTTAATATATGGATATAGGATTGAAATTCTAAGCTCTTAGGTATAAATTATGAATGGAACAAAAACTTATTTTTTATTCCTTTCTCTTTTTCTTTATAGAGATACGTTCATTGTAATTTTTGAATAGAAACAAATTTTAGTTGTATTAATGTATTACATAAGTTTTCGGTATATTAATACATAGTACATAGAGCTCATAACATGGAATACTAAATAAATGAAACCCCACGCGCAATCTATGATTTTTGTGGGTAATTAGTTTATTCTACACCGACATTGTATGTAACTTTTGTAATATGTATCTGTATAAACGTTATTATTATTATTTTATTATAAATACAAATTTTCTTGAAATATTCACAGTTTGAGCATATGGTGATTTCTGTATATGTCGTGAACTAAACTGTATAGTTTGGTTCAGTATAGGTCATTTAATTACGCCCAATCGATGACAGTTCTTGTGTGGAGAAGCAGTATCTGTTAAAAAAAAAAAATCTGACGGTTGTATTTACTTTCTGATCCGATAAAAAAAATTGGGTGCTTCTGAAAACTATAGAATTATTCAAAAAACTGGTAAAATATTTTGAAATCTATTTTTCCGTTAACCAGCTATCGCTCTTCTACAAACAGCAACCCTCAAAATTCGAAACTTGGGCAAGCTAAGGATCAATAAGGTCTTACCTTTCAACATGCGACTCCCAGCTGCATTGGTTTTTCACTAGTATTCAACGAATGAGTTTGAGCACTTACTTATTTTTTTGTTGTTCTGAAAATATCATCTATTCTGAGTTTCGACTTATGATAGTATTTATTTTTCTGTGGAACGTGAAATGTTTTGATACAAGTGTAACAAATTTAGCTCTGATTGAGCCGTTCATATTTGAAAATAGATGGAAAAACGAAATAGTTCCCAATTATTTCCTTCCTCTTTAAAATGCACATCAAGGTGGAATAAAAATTATTAAAAAAAGTTTATTTTCAACTTAACAATTTGTACATTGATTTTGAAGTAATTGATAATAATAGATAACAATATCGACCAAAAACTAGAAAAAAACATTAGAAAATGAAACATTTCTCTACTGAATTCATATTCGTACCAGGAGAACATTTGAAATCTAATGGAAAGTATCGCGAGTTTTTCAGAGGCGATAATACTCTGTAGTTAAACGAGGCGTGATTTCGGTTGAGGATATCGTATTCTTCAGCAATTATTTTTTCATAGCAGAAATTAGTTGCGAATTGTATCCAAAACATCTGTTTAGGGGTGTAGGTCAAGCCGGGCAAAGCTTTCTCTTCATTTCCGTGAATTTTCCACCAATCATGATATGCTTCGTAGGCAATGTCAATACCTATCAGATCGGCAAAGTTTTCATTGTGAAGACTTTCCTCAACATCGTCGTTTTCCTGAAAAAAATCAACGAATCATTAAACAATTTTTGTTGAGATGTTGAGCAAGTTTTCAATGATAAAGTCCAGTGCGCTCGTTAAGAATGGTGTTAATACAGTGTCATCCCCAAAGTATGCACCATATGGGAAACTTATTTATTAAGGGTTTTTCGACAAAATGTTACTCTTGATAAAAGTTTGTGCCTCCCCCAAAATTGAACATGCACCAACAAAATACGGTAAAACACACATAATATACGGGGAGCCTTTAATTATTTGATTTTGAGACAGGAGTAAAGTACTCTTATTTTGAAAAATCTCGGGAATCCAAAAAGTTGTTCAGCATTGAAAAATACAGCTAGATTTGAAGTCATGGCCATCCAAGCGAAGTTTTACTTTTTTACCAATTTTTTTAATGGGAATTACGAAAAAAAAAATGCTAAAACGATAAATAGACAGTATCCTGAATAGACAATTTATTAAATCCTGTAATATTACGAATTACACAACTATGATGTTAACCATGGTCAATTTTGTTAAAGAGTAAAATAATTTTCGAAGTTTTTGGTGCAACGTTATTTTTATTTTTTGTTAATACCGAAAATTACTCAAAATTATACAGTATTGTAACGAGAACTTAATATTCAATAATATCAAATCACAATACATCAAAACAAAATAGGTATTTCGGAACAAACTCGTTGATTTTCTGGAGATTTTCTTGTCCAAGTTTGTTCCAAAATACCTATTCTATTTTAGTGTTTTGTGATTTGATATTATTGAATATCAAGTTCTCGTTAAAATACTGTATAATTTTGAGTAATTTTCGGTGTTAATAAAAAAAATAACTTTGCACCAAACATTTTGAACATTATTTTTCTCTTCAAAAAAATTGACCGTGATTAACACCATAGTTATGTAATTTGTAATATTGCAGGCTTTTGAAATAAACCGTCGTATACAGGTTGATGTCTATCTATCGTCTTAGCAATTTTTTTTATAGTCTCGATTTAAAAAAAAATGGGTGAAAAATAAAACCTCACTTATCTGGCCATGACTTCAAATCTAGATGTATTTTCTGATGCTCAACAACTTTTCTGAATAACATTTCTCAAAATTTTTCAAAATAAGAGTACTTTACTCTTGTCTACTCTTGTCTCAAAATGAAATATTTGAATGCTCCTCGAATATTATGTGTGTTTTACTGTATTTCGTTGGTGCATGCTTAGTTTCAGGGGATGCACGAACTTTTATCAGGAATAATTTTTTGTCGAAAAATCCTTAATAAATAAGTTTCCCACATGGTGCATACTTTGGGAATGACACTGTAGAAGCAAATATTTTAAGGTAATAGCATTCTTTAAGCGGAGAAATGAAAGTTATAGGCAGAAAAAATCAAAAGTTCAGAGGTTTAAAAATGAGGCGCCAGATGAAAAATATTTGATGATAAAAGTTGCTACATTTTCGGAATAGAAGACATCAAATTAATGGATAAATCATTCTTTTTGCATTGTTGCAAAAAAATTGACTATTTTAATAAATACGTTGCATTTCGCCTTTCTGTTATCAATCATCAACATCGGTTTAAAAATACTTTCAACACTAAACTGATGGATGTAGCCGTTACTACTTGGTAGGAAATCATAATGAGGAAAAGAGAATTCAATTCTCTTTTCTTCATTACTTTTAACATTACTGTTAAAAATATTTCTAGCACGCTACTTTATGAACTCTTGACAGCCATTAAAAATGTCACTTTCAATCTGTTTAAAATCTGTTTTTCCGTTAATCAGCTGTCGCCCCCGTACGAACGACAACTCTCAGGAGTTGAGAAACTTGTGCGAGGTAAGGACTAACGAGGTCTTACCTTTTAACGTGTGATTCCTAATGACAGACCATTTACCGTTTTTTTACTATGAACATATTCATTGTTTATCGAATGTATTCTGGTAAACCGTGAAACTGAGTATCAAAATATAGCGCTAGTTAGAATTCATGTAACTATGGTTGACAAAGTAAACTGCCACACTAAGAAGATAGACCTATTGGCATTAAAACAATGTTGATTACTATGAGAGTTTCAGTGTATTTCAATAGAGCAGAATTGGAATCTATTGTTGATCAAATATTAATCAAAGCGTAACAAATTGGTAGTAATTGAACATACGGATTGTGAAAGTAGGGAAAATTATTACTAAGGAAGGTCAATTTTCACAGTGAGTTCAACAAAGTGTACTGTAGATACAATTCAATCTGAATTTGTCAGTTAGTTCTATCCCCAAAGAGAAATATAGACCTTTCCTAGCGAAAGAGCCGTATATTAAATTTACCTCATCCAGAAATTCTATGTACTGGTCATCAAGGCATGTCGATCTAGCAACTATTTCATCCAAAGTTTCATTGTCCCACAGACTAGTTGAGTTGAGCATGAACATGAAATATTCTTCGTTCACAGTTTCGTTATACTGAGACTCCATAAATTTCTGTTTTCCTTCCGGAATTTGAACTTTGGCATCTCGTTCAAGCCCGTGGGCTAATTCGTGTCCTATGATCATGCCTAAGCTTCCATAATTCAAATAATTTGGTCTCTGTTTACTATAGAAGATATCTTGAATGAACGCTGCAGAAATAACTGAAACAAATCGACAAAAGAATCATGCTCTGAAATGAAAGCAAAAGAAAGTAGACTTGAAAGGGTAGCAAGTATTTCAATATTGTGGTCATAAAGATGTTTTTTCAGTATTTTCTATAATTTTTTATTCCAGACAGCAGTAAATTATCATAATAGCGGGGATTTCGGGATTAACTGAAGCGCGGCAGATTAATATACAGGGGGATACCTTATATCCGGTTGAGTACCTCCACCAAATATGAGCCCCATATATAAGGCCGACTGTGAGAGATAAAGGATCAGATTAGTAAAAAAAATTGATCATCAGACATTCTCGAGCGCGTCAGATTGAGGTAGGGTGACTTAATTACCTGCTAAAAAGTGTATATTCCAGTAATCTGACAATTTGAGAGTGACGTAACGAAAGGGGAGGGCAGCAAAGTTGAAAAAAAAAAGTCATCTCGACATTCTCGAGCGTAGCCAATTTTTTTTTTTATTTTGAAGGAAATAACTCAAGGATATCGAAAAATATATATAATATAATCTGACGATTTCCGCAAGCCGAAATAGCAAAAATTCGTCGAGAAAGCTTAATTCGTTCAGCTGCGTGATGCCTATATTTCCCTCTCCGCGTTTCTATTCCTCTCTCACGTTTTCTCTATCTATTACTCTCTCACTCCGTTCCCTCTCTGGATTATGTTGCCATGGCGCCACCACAGCTGATGACAGATACTCGTTCATGTCATATTATTTACAAAGTGTGTACAACGTTTTGGCTTATTTTGTTATTTTAATGTTAGTTATGTGAATTAAAGTTTATAAATATTTAATATGTCTGATATTAATTCAAAGTGTGTATTTTGTGGTGAAACTACTTCACTTGTGTTACTTGTGTTACGCACAAGATTCATTGCATGCTTGTGGAGTAATTCCCATAATGCAAAAATTATTGATCTTTTACCAACGGACTATGTATGGATAGAAAGTTGTCGACGGAAAATTCAAAATGATCTGGTTTGCAGGTGATCAATTGCCCAAAGCGTACGAAGATGTAGTCATAACACCTGATATTCTTGAGAATACTCCAGAATCAGGTATTTCTTTTCTCCAATAATTGAAAAAACACGTTATTCATTAAAAAAAATTGTTAAATATTTTAATGATTTTTTGTTACAGATACGCAATCTGAGGATGAAATCGAGCCAGAAGAGGAAGATAATTCTACTGATGAAGATGGAGGTTTAGATCAATAATTCGATTGATTATAAAAAAAAAATTTTTTTGAGCATTTTTTCAAAAATTATTTTCTAATAAATATTCTACTTAAAACACATACACTTATTTATTTACATGATATTTCCCGAGCTTTTCAATTAATTAAGTTCAATATTTAAAAAAAAATTAAAAACATTTTTTGTCAGATTAGGCGAATCCTTCTATATAATTGTCAGTTTATGAGACAGCACATCTATAACATAAAGATGGACCATATATATCTCAATCTTACGCGCTTGAGTATTTCAAAATGACGATTTTTTTTTGCACATTATAATAATGGCCGCGAGTTTGTGTCAGCTCGAAATAGTCAGATTATTGAATGAGAGCTTTTTTTTGTTGCACTTAACACCCCCTTAGAAAATCTGACGCGCTCGATAATTTTTTTTTTCATTTTTAACCCTTACGTACATCCACCCGCATCATGCAAACGATCAGATTAACATACGAACATTATTAAAAATACGTAGTACATTGATGCTATTAATATCTGATGCGCTCGAGTATGTCCATGCAACAGCTTTTTTTACATATTTAATAATCTATAGCAGCTTTCCCCACCGATGAAAAGGTATATATTATATAACTTTTTTTTTCTTCTTATCATCTAATCTTTGCAACCTAATAGGTCTCTATGACGCTCGAGTAAATCCCCATTTTGCACCGTGGGCTCCCCTGCTATCATATAGTAGTGTAGTAGTATAATGAATATGTTGTGTAATGTTGCCTGAATAAATTTCTCTTTTCAGGTGGCAATTTGGAAAATTCCAATTACTTTTCAAGCCTCTGTAATGTTGAGTGGCAGCTTGAAGAAAGCCTGGAAATTCTTTGTAATGTGATCTATGGCACGATATATGCGCAACTTTAGTTGCCCCCCCCCAAGAAATCGCTTTTTGAAGCACTTGCATAATTGGTTCCTCTCGATTATTTTTCGATCCTATCACCTTCCACTCATGACTTGAATCATTGCCCGTAGCAGCGTCAACAGGAGGTTTTTCACCTTCGAGACTGTTCAGAAGAAAACCTAAAAACTCTTCTGCATCTTGCTGTCTACCCTCGATTTAGTCTGTCCGCATGCTATGCAAAATTTACATATGAGACAAAAAAAATGAACGGCGTATTCACTTTGTTTAACGGTTCTGAATGGTCCTGATACTTCAAGGAAATTATTCCTTCAAAGTATTCCTATCGTAATCTTTATTTGGAAATAGCACTTTTGAAAAATAAAAATGAAAGAATCAACTTGGAACACAAGGAATTCACCTGAAGCTGAAAATATGGTGAAGTTAGTGACGTTATTTGACCACTAGATTGAATAATTTCTTTATGTATAGCCCATGCTATGGAAACCATTCTGATAATAGCCCTAGTGGATGTATCATCAGAAATTAGCTCACAAAACTAGCTTCTAAATAAAATCTTTCGAATTAAAGAAAGGAAAGAATCACGCATTCAAAACGCGGTTAAGGCAGACGCGACCTAGTGCCAATTGTCTAGTTGGTACAGCATTTTTGAAACTACTTCAAATTCTCATGCTAATCTATACCATGCTAATATATCCCTCTGTGTATAAAAGCAGCCATGTACGAGGCAGAATTATATGCCCCACAAGCACAAAAACAGTGACGAGTAGGCTAGAGATTACTATTTCTCTTTCTTGTTGGGCGCTTATCGTTTTCTGGTCAATGCCTTTTCCAGCTTTCCAGAAAAACCAGACACTGACTGCACTATCATTTGGGGTCCATCTATTTCCCCCTTTGTAGATTTATGATGGAGGGATTAGTTATTCAAGTTTTTTTCATATGAGATGGATTTCTGTGAATACCTCACATACAGAAATGACAATTTATATGGATTTTGTGAAACCTCAGCTATTGGGGTTTTACAGAAAGGCGTTCTGTATCTGTATCTGTAGAGTAGGCAGCATGAGTATAGACCCACAGCACTTAGGCCACATGTGACCCATTGTACATCTTCCGTAGGAGTTGTCCTCCTAGGTCATCGTCCATCCTGTTCTTTCTACGAAGGTGGACAGGTCACTATTGGCAGGTATAGGCCAAGACTCGCCGAAGACACATTCTCTTTGGCAACCTTGAGGTGTCTAACGGTGGCCTCCGCGAAAGTTTTGGAAGATGCAGCGACATTACTGTCGTTGCGCGGCTTCTTCAACCTTCTTGAGGTTTCACCCGTGGAGGTGTACAAGTGAGGGATCTTTCCTGTAGGGGCAGCAGGTTCCTTGCCTTTATTCAAGTTGGAGCTCTTGGCGCCCGCTACAGGAAGTGCCTTGCTGTTGGAGGTGGAGTGGGGGAGGGAAGGGTGCACTTATAGTTGCTGCCACTGCTGCTTCCTTCGCTCTCTTTCTCCTTTTGGCCTTGGCCTTTGTATTATATCACGAGGTGATCTGCTATGTCCAGCCTCATTCCAAGCGGTAAATTGGGGTGAACATTTCTGTTCATTTGCAGCCACCGCCTTAGATTGAGGTGAGCACTTCTGTCCAGCCTCGGGATTGGTTTTGTTCTTGTTGTTTCTGTTTTTGTGTTTGTTTCATTCATGTGTGTTGCCACGAGTAGCAAGGGAAGAAAGGCGTTAATTTCGTGTTTCTAGTTTCATAGTTTCTAGTTTCAGTGATGTACTGAATTCCTTTTTCAACAGCAACAATTTTTTGATGAACCTTCATTCGGTATTTGATCTTTTATTTTCGCGGTTATTTGTCTGTAATAACACAGCAAATTTTTTTCCAAAAATAAAATATTTGAAAATAATAATTGTTTTTTTTTTCACCTTACCGATAACATTAGCCGGATCAATGAAGCCAGCATTAACTTCTGTCGTAGTCTTGAAGATAAACTGAGTTAGTAATTCATCTGTTGTGATTTTTCCCATAAATTTTATGCGAAAATCATTGATATTTTTCTCTCTGGCCATATGGATTATGTTACTTGAGGTAAAAGTCAACTGAAATATATAATCATTAATAATTTGAAATATTCAAGGTTACATTCCAAGTACACCAAGTTTCATCGATTAAATGTGTGCAAATTTTCGAAATTTTGCCAAGCAAATGAATTATAAAATCTCGAGACCGTAGGTCGAGGGATTTCATCTTTAATAATTATGCACAAAAGCATTTGCTCAATATAATTTTTTTTAATTATGATACTACAGACATTTTGATCGAATGAGCTTGGTGTACGAAAGATATATATTTTTTCCATCAGAGAAAGGGAACTATAATATACCGTCTGTCCAAGATAAGGAGGATCAGCATCCGAAACTGTGAGAGATTCAGAGTCGGTTTCCTAAAAAAGATGTCCGTTTTGAAGATCATTGAAATGATAGTTCGGAGTTTAGTAGATTCCGATTAGTTCTGAAGATATTAAAAAATAACCGAAATTTGTCAATTTCGTTTAAATTCACTTCCTACATTGTTGAAGAAGAACACAACTAGACAGCAAACTTGACTTCAAAAAACACATCGAATTCCTCTGCAAAAAAGCCGGTGAAACGTTCTTTGCATTTGCGAGTCTGAAAAATAACTTCAATAAAGGGCATTTGCTAGATTTGTATTACTCTCTCGTATATTCAACTCTGTGTATGAACATAACGGTTTGGGGACAATCAGTGGAGGTAGAAAGAGTTTTTGTTATCCAAAAAAGATTTGTAAGAATAATCTTCGATCTAAAATACAACGATCATGTAGAGAAGTCTTCTTCAAAAATAAAATTCTGACGGTATTTTGTATCTATCTTTATAAATTACTGTCCTACATCCACTCAAATTTGTCATCATTCACAAGATCTCACGAAATACACGATTACCCCACTAGACGAAACCATGAAATTCATGTTAGAAAATGTAATCTTACGGAATACAAAAAATCGCCAAGATATGCCGGAGCAATGGCTTTCAACCACCTTCCAGGAAAAATTAAAGATATTCCCGATCACAAAAAGTTTAAAAAACAATTAAAGGCATTTTTATTGGAGAACAATTTTTATTCGAATTGAAGGGGTTATATTTTTTAGGAGTGATTAATTTTTGGGAAAAAGTTTTTGGCTTTCTACTACTCCATCTTGATACAAAAAAAAAGAAGGATGAGGGAGTCTTCCAAAGAAAGGAAGGAAGTAACTCTATACATGGATGTGAAGATCATGCAAAGAAGTAACTTTCAGACACAAACTGAAGGAAAGTTCTCCTGAAACAGCTACTTTCATATAAACATTGAATTACACGAAAGAAAAAATTCTTTCGAAACAAATACTTCTATATGAATACTGAATTATACAGAAGATAGTTTTCTCTACTCAGTTTGTATTTCAAACATTCGTTGTGGAATAAAAATCAGATATCATTCACATGAGTTCTACTTTAAATGAATGGTAACAAATTGCACTTACATAGAACACTTCCATCCTCACTGGTATACACCGATGTTTCTTTCCCAAAAATTAATCACTCCTAAAAAATATAACCCCTTCAATTCAAATAGGATTCCTCTTGGCTGGGATTAAATCAAATAGGTGAATGAATGTCACTACGATTTCATCGATGACATAAGCGGATCAAGCTTATTTCGTGACATTAAAAAATCGTAATTCATGAATGAATTGTGTGTATTTTCTATAATGTTATCCAATTTGGTACTGAAGAGCCTTGTGGCAAGTGCCTTAAGGCGAAACATCGGTGTATACCAGTGAGAATGACAGTGTTCCATGTAAGTGCAATTTGTTACCATTCATTTAAAGTAGAACTCATGTGAATGATATCTGATTTTTATTCCACAACGAATGTTTGAAATACAAACTGAGTAGAGAAAAGTATCTTCTGTATAATTCAGTGTTCATATGGAAGTATTTGTTTCGAAAGAATTTTTTCTTTCGTATAATTCAATGTTTATATGAAAGTAGCTGTTTCAGGAGAACTTTCTTCCAGTTTGTGTCTGAAAGTTACTTCTTTGCATGATCCTTCCCAATTTTTATTCATTTAGTGAATTTTTAAATCATGAAGAAAAGTGAGTTATGTTTTTCTTTTCATATCACTTTTAAAATGAATGTGGCTGTATTTTCATATGTTTCTACAATTATCTTCGATTTTCAGCTTGTATGTTTTTATTTTGACCTGTCTTATGTATACCATGTGTACACAAAAAGATGAAATATACATCTCATCTCATTAGAAAACAATACACACTTTCTCTTTGTCATATTTCGAACTGTACAAGATGGTATTTGCAGATCTTCAATCCGACGTTCCGTCGTTCCGAAAAACGATCACCAAATCAATTATTTTACATGGGTCAGTAAAAGAGTCACCTGATATGATTCAGTCTTTTTGGGGACAATTCCACTGATTTATCACACATAATGAGAAATTCCTGAACAAAATGTCATTTGATTGAGTATGGACAGGCTTCTCAGTTAGGAACAATAACTTCTCAAAATGGTCTACTTTTTCCTAACTTAACCAGACTGACATCTGTTCTTCCACCTAACCCAAAACAGACTACTTAATGGCAAAAGAGAAAAAAAACATTGATTATATTCGAATGCACCTACTTTACAAGTAATATAAACATTGTCATCACTAAATTAATAAATCTCAGTTCAAATTGAAGATAAAAATTAGTCAAAGAAACATACATATTTTTTTAACATTGTAAATGGTAAATTAATAATTCTCAGATCGAACTAATTAATAATTCTCAGATCGAACTGAAGATGAAGAGTGGTAAAAAATGAGTGGGAAAAATAAATATAGAACTTACTATCTATCAAGAAATCTGATGATACGCTTCCGGAATGTCGATAACGGAAGTTCTTTCAACTCTAATGGTATTTTATTCATACATTTGGTGATGTGATAGGAAAATGAACGTCTGTAAAATTTGGTGCGAAACATTTGGGGAGTAAGCAAACTTTTTTGTCTTATGTTAATAGTATGTATATCAGAGCGAAATGTTACCTCATTGTACAAATTGTACACTTTAGTTTTTTAACGGACAGTATTTCTTAGGATTTTTAATTTTCCCATGCTAGCCATTCTTATTTTAGATACTTTGTATACACAAAATCTAAATTTTATGGTTATTTCATTCGGTTCAACAGGTATATCGCATTTAATTGCTGTAAAATTCTGTAAACGCTGCATAACCTTCAAATGTGCCATCGTTTTAGGTGTTTAGGCAAAAGTGCATATGAAAAAACTGAAAATTTTCAGTTTGGATCATTATAGCTAAGCGTAAATCTAGCAAGGCTCCGAAAATTCTAATACTCACGTTTTCATTATCTAGTAACTCATCTAGCAAGTCACTGTCAAACTGTAGATTTTGATCGCCAATTATTTCTGTAACATTTTTAATTTTTTCAGTTGCTAATACTTTAGAACCTTTGGAAATCCAGTCTGCCCCATTAATTCGTGCAACAAACCTATTTTTGATATTACTTATCATTGTTTTTATTTCTTGAACAGTTTCATCGTTAACATATTTTTTGATATAGGATGCTTCTGCGATGTTTGGAAATCTGTAAACTGTCATTGAAATACGTTGGTTCCATAATACCTTTTTTATACTACCTTTTTTTAGATTCTTCGGAACATATTTGTGATCGAGTCATGACTCTACTTTTTGTCATGAAAGTGGAAAAATTTCCAAAATTTTCTCTAATAGGCGTTGCCAGAAGTACCCCGAAATCCTGAATGATTTTCCAAATGAAAAAATTGGCAGAAGTCCTGAAAAACCAAATAACGAATCACCTTGTGTACTCATTTTCTTGTTGGGTTTTCTGGTGACAGTGTTGGTGTATAGAGAATGAAGTTACACTGGTTAAAAGGCCAATAATCATCTTCATCTTGTCGCTAGTTGAATCCTTCTACTCGTATAGTAAACTCATGAACTCTGTTCAGTTTTATCATGTTTCCACATCATACTCAGGTGGACAAATGGATATTTTTATCTAAATAACTTGATTCAGTTTCAAATTACAAGTCACATGATTATTTCCCTCCTTGTTTTCAGTATCGATAGTGTGTGCTTTAAGAGAACACATATCAGTAATAAGAATCTAGTATGAGTTTTTTGGGTTTCGTAATTTTAAAAATGATTAAAATTTGATGATTATCAACAGCAATAATAATAACTCTAATAGATAACATGTAATTCCAAAAAATGCTGAATTTTCTGAAAATAATATTATGATGAATAATGATAATGAAGAATAATAAACTCTCTGGGAGCTGTCCATTCCTGATGCATGGATGGAGAATATAACAGAAACACTTCTACCACACCATAACTCAAACACAGCGCGTTTCACTCATCAATTTGCATCATCAGGTGATGCCAAGTGAAGCTTTGCATAAAATTCAAACTAACCAAGTTAGCATCTTCAATTTTTATCTGAGGATTCTAACTTTTTAGCGACACACGCGTCAGGGTACATTTTGTTTTGGTGTGAAAAAATTGTTTTCTCTACAGACCATAATAAAAACACTCTCTTGACACGCAGGATCCCATCCTGCGTGTCAAGAGCGTGTTAAGAGAGTCATAGTTACGACCGCACCGGGGGGCCTGGAGGGTCGGTTAGGCCCCTCAGACGCACCCTGGCGTTGGATGCGATCGGGTGTGGAGGGGTGGATTTTCGGGAAATCCTTGCGGGTACCGCCCCTCACCCCACACCAACAGGATTTCGCAGGGCTTCCTCCCGCTCATCGAACCCGGAGTTGCCTCCTTACATCTACTTAGTGTGGCTAACCAAGAGACAGGACCATCGGCAGCGTTCGACCGAACGTTCGTACAAGTTAACTAAGCTCTTCTTTCGCCAGAGAGTGCTCGCGTCGCACACCTGCCCCCGCCAACCATGCCAAATCAGTTGGGAATATGGTCCCGGAAGTGGCCGGTCGGGGTCCTAAGCTCGGATACTAGTAGCTTGAAGTGTCGGGATCCGACACCTCAAGCGTCTGCCTTGGTGCCCTCCAAGACTAGACTCGGATACTAGAGCCCGGAAGGACCGCGAGCCCCGACACCTCGAACGCTCGGATCCGTACAGAAGCAGGCGAGGATCACGGAACAGCATAAGCCGTCCAGTGCCTCGGTATGGGGCTGCAATGCACCCATGAATGGATTACCGCAACCCTGTATCCCTTTACCCGCTAGTGGAGCCGCTGCCCCTAAGAGGCCAACACCAGTTGGAGATGAGGCTCGCTAGCCTCCAGCCGCGAGCGGGCACTCACCTCCCCCCTAGAACTCATGTTAGGAAAGTTCCCTTTCCAACGTTTGATGAGTCATGATATAATGATAATTTATGATGATGCTAACTAGGGTAACGAAACTGATGTAGTGAGACTGCGTCCATTCTTCATGAATTGTAAAACTCTTAAAAGTTTTGATTGATCTTTTTTCTGAAAATACACTCCCCAAAACAATTAAACGTAATGATAGTGTACAAGAATAAGTTTTATGATAAATATAATAATGTGAACTTTGGAATTTACTCTTTTTGGTAAAGTCGGGCCACAGTATACAAAAGAAAGAATGCACGTTTTATTCTCTGTTGTTTATCTTCAAGGTCCCATTTGCAGGTGGATCAATAATGGTGTGGGATGGAATAACACTCAATGGGATGGAATTACACTCAATGATCGTACGGACCTTGTAGTCATCCGCAACGGATCCCTGACTGCCTAAAGATTCGTTAATAAGGTTTTGGATGTCCAGATACGTCACAGAGCTGAAGCGCCACAAAAATTTTATGCACGATGGGGACCGTCCCTACGATGTAGGGATCGTGCGTCAGTACCTACAAGCCCACAATATCACCACTTTACGGTGGCCCGCTTGTAGCCCAGACTTGAATCCCATCAAACATGTATGGAACTCACCGGAAAGAAGCAACCGAATCCTTAAAAACAAAACCATCATTTTGGACGAGCTGGAAATCGCTCTTTGGGAAGAGGGAAGAACCATGTCCCGGCCAATCCGAAATGTGATTTCTTTTTGTTTACTTTTGATTTCAATAATTAAAGGGTTTTCATTTTGATTTTGTTAGTTCTTTACTTTTCTCACGTATACCCAATACACAATAAAAAATTATTCAATAATTCAGCATGGATTTGGTAGTCATCAGCATTGCTTTTCAGAATAATATAACATACAATAATTTTTTTCACTGAAAAAAAACTACATGTGGGTCTTCAATTGTTTTGAGGAGTTTATTTCACTTTTATGAACGCAATTATGGTTGATATCGAAGTAACTATATCCAATTATAAATAGGCAACCGTTTGGGAGAATTGTAGTTCAATATATGTAAAATAATGTTGATAAGGAGTTGAAAGTGAGCATTTTTGCTCGAAATCTAAACTCTGTCCATCCAGCAAACGAAGAAACCCAAACAATGTTAGTAATCACACGTTAAAAGGTAAGACCTCGTTAGTCCTTAGCTCGCACAAGTTTCTTAACTTCTGAGAGTTGTCGTTCATGTGGGGCGACAGCTGATTAACGGAAAAACAGATTTTAAACAGATTTAAACAGAATGATAGATACGTGATCGCCACTTAAATTTGCATTTATTGGATACAATAAACAAGCCTCCTTACGCTTGCCAATCAGATTTAAGTGCAATCGGCTGGCGGAATTCATTCAGGTATATCGCTACAGGGTCGGAGTGGTGAATTATGTTTTGACACCTGTGGTGTGTACATATACGGTATTTTAAAGTTTGAAATTTTCAAAATGTCAAGTACTGATACGGCTGAAAAACTGCTAATTTGTGCACCTACACTCCTTAAAAATGATCCTATACCCAGCCGCATATTACTAAAAAATGAAATTTCGGTTGTTCCTTAGTGCGACTCTGTACAATCAGATTTGTCTAGGAGATCACGTGCACTATGCATGATTATGTTTTGGATCACTTTGTTGTCTAAATGGGCAGAGTATAGTTCCCCTGAAAGTAAACGGATTCCTAAGAAGTGCAATACTGTTTTACCCTGCATCTGTTTCAGTTTCAGATGGATTTATTTTCGATCTGTATCATGACATATTTTTATTTTTTTATTATTAATGAATGAATCAAAAAATAGGTTGATTGATTGATTGATAAATCAAAGATCGCTTGAATGAAACATTTTATTTGGATTATATTTTTATGAAGTTTTCAGTAGACAACCGTTTGCCAAATTCATGTTCGTTTCTCAACTTTGAAGAAAGTAATGGACTACTGTAGAATACTGATAATGTCTCACCTTCTAGACGTTCCTGCCAGCAGCAAATTCAATTCTTTCATAATATTCTCATTTACCATCATAGTAGTATTATCCGTGAAGAGAAACTCTTCATCTATCAGTTCTTCGATTAGCAACGAAAAGTCGTTATTGGAAAAAATTAGCGTCAAGTCGTCATAATTGGTGACGGTGTTTTCGGAAAAATCGTACTTTTTAAATATCTGAAAATGTAAACAATTTTATTAGAATCCCTACAAGAGAAACGTTGTCGTTTTTATCTTCATGAATTGAATATTTAAAACTAAATTTAGGAAATGATGATGATGATATACAACATCATCAAAGTTTTCACGGCCGGAGTCACGGTCAAACAGAACAAAATTCGAGCTTTAAACCATGATCAAATGGAACCTGCAACAGTTCTTCTATTTTTCATTAGGTTGACACAACCTAATAGAAACAGATCAATTTGATCTAAATCAGTGCACTTTTGCAAACGTAACACAAGTTGATCAAATCCGTCAGCATACAAATTGCGTACTCGGGATTCCATGAAGTTGACGAAGGCCATTTTTGTCTGGTTGATTGGTGAAGGTTTTACCTGTGAGAAAGTGCTTGAAAACATGGTAGTTGGTTGGTAAGAGGTCTGGGGAGTATGGTGAGTGCAGCAGAACTTCAACGCTCAATTCTTGAACGGTGATTCGTGCGAACGGGCGTTGTCGTGGAGCAGAATCGGAACTCTTCTGTTGACCAGTGCCGGCTGCTGCTGTTGCAATTTCTGGTACATTTCGTCGATTTGCTCACAATGGTCTTTTTTGGTGAGTTTTCTTCTTTTGAAAGTGCCTGGGTGGCTCATCGGTATCCAATCACTATCCTGAACGTCTTCTGTTGTGACGATCCGATCCAAAAAGGATTGTTTTGGTTGCGCAGAATCAAAGAACAGACCCCGAAACGTGACAATTTCTGTAGGTCGTTCAAATCGTGGGGCAACCATTTTTTGAGCGTTTTGACCTTTTACTAAGTTTTAAACCATCAAAAATCACATTGGAGCTGACGCCTAGTTCTTCCGCCATCCCACGCACCGTTTGTGGTGGGTCAGTCTTCACCAAAATCCTTAAATTCTCGTCCTGGATTACTGTAGGTCGACTACTTTGAGGCTCATCTTCGGGGTTAAATGTTGCAAACCAACGTCGACAAGTGTTCATGATTGTCAATCATTTCCAAATGCCTGGTTGATTTTTTGGACAGTTTCAGCAGCGCTTTGGTTCTATATGAATTCGTAGAGGAAATTGCTTAGCGACATCATATAGTAATGAGCAGAAGAAAGGCAAAAATTAACCACAATATACTCACCAGTGGTAGACAGACCACGTGATGAAACACAAAGAAACTACTGTCCTGTTTAATTCAACTCATTACCAAGCACGACTTCATATCTATAGCCACCCCATCAATTTTAACAGAAAAGAAGAGGTTATACGGGTCAGCGGAACATGGTATCCACTACTCAGGATGACCAAACATGGACTAGGAAATAATCAGAACGAACCAGTAAGAGTGCGAAACAACAAAGAGTGAACATTCGCATAGACAACCCGCCGTCGCCTCCACCGCCATCCCCACTATCACTCCTAGCACTCTCTGAAATTATAAATACGAGTGAACATGGAGCTCGTCAGTCAATCGGTGCTGAGACTTCGAGATATAACTTTTCACCTCGCAGTCAATGCACATACCATGGATGATTTCTGCCGCAGTAGCAGACGAAACATTGGGTACGTTAGGTTCCAATCAACCACGGCCTACCAGCTCATTTTTTGGTCTCTTTAATGATGATGATATAAGTTGGAGTTTCAAGATGAACTACTCTCTTGATATGCTCAACTTCCTCAATCTCAACTGTGAGATGCTTTCTTTCGACGTACATTTCACTCACTTTTTGGGTAAACAGGTGATAATTGATAACTGATGACTATTTTTACACAAATTAACTATATGGTTCGATGTTTGGCGGTAGGAACCATGACAAATCAGTAAATTATGTGGCTGGTTGAATTCAACAATCGAATCCTAACAAGTTCAATTCATTAAGGTTTTTACATTGTGTTGATTGTTGTAACAGTAGAATGCTCTAAACCAATAGATATAATAAATGTGTGACTAATCGCTGTCTGCACATCGCAGATATTTGGAAAAAACTATCATCGGGGTCTCTATTAATATAATGGAAACCCAAACAACGATTCTCAGAATTTTCACCTGTTTGTCTGTACGTTTGTGTTTGAATGTGTGTTTGAATCCATCGATTTAGAAGCGGTTTTCACTCATGTATTGTGGTAAGCTTTCGATATCTACTACTATAAAAATACTGTTTGGCTGAAATGTTGGCTGAATATATTTATAATATGTGAAATGAGTTTTTAATAAGTTGAAGATAGTCAAATACATAAGAAAATGATAAAAAATCTGCATAAAAAAATACATATACTTAAGTGCACGCGAACGAAATCGCGGCTAGGTAGTTCGAAATAAGTTTTGAGATATAGGAAATTGAAAAAATTAGTACCTAGTTCACAAATTTTATAAAATAACGAAAAGAGAACGATCAGTTAAATAGATAGAATCACAAGAAGAATGCGTTCATGTATTGAACAGGAGGGTTTCCAATTAACACATCTAGTATCGAAAACTACATTTCTGTTCAATCATGATATTTGAACAGCTTACCTGAACTAGATTTCTTTCAAAATCCAGAACTTTCTCCAGCTCGATTTTGGCTATGGACCTAGATCCTCCCATTGTGACAGCTGTCTCGACCATCAGTTCAAAATAAACAGCTTCTTTAAAGGGATCTTCAAAGTGTGAGTCTATAGAAGGGATACCAATCTAAAAAATTCCAAATACAATCATGCGAATTTATCATCAGATGCCTGTTAATATAGATACATAAGAGGAATAGATGGATATTTTTCATTCACAGGAATAAATACAATTAGTATTTATTTGAACATGAAGTAATTTATAAGGAGGAGACTTTTTTTTGTTTGTGTCAGAAAGTTACTACTTTGCATGATCTACACATTTTTGTAAATAGTCTGTAAATGAAGGAGTAGAAAGCTAAAAACTTTTTTACCAAAAAATTATTCTTTCCTTGAAATATACTCCTCGCAATTTGGAATATTCCATATTTCACAACTTCTTTCATCATTTTTGTCAGGCAAAATAAAATTACTATTCAGTTTTTTATTATGGCTTTCGTATCTTTTCTAGATACTTGTAGAGTAAATTCATTTACCAGTTCAATACAAAAAAAAAGTATAAATTGATTTCATCAGTGAAGTGAATACTGGTTCAAAATATTCAGTTTTCAAAATCATAACACGACATTTTCAACGAAACATTGCTTCTCCAATAGTGAAAATGTTCAATGCATTGGGTGACTAGTGAATGTGTGACTATATAATGGTAATGAAGGTTATCTATGATAGAAAATGAATAATGTCTCATAAGTTAATTTACAATATATTTTTCACATTTTCATAAATTATTTCAAGTTCAAAGTATATTCATCATCATATCATAAACGTTGCATCCATGATTCAGTCTCAGTTTCACCACATCCATAGATATATTTTCTTTTTGTCTTTTATTATTGACATTTCTTTAACATTTCGTGATACATCTGTAACTCCATAGGCAGGAGTAGAACGGCAGAGGATAATTAGAGCACCGAAGAGATATAACAGACTTACAGGGCTGTCTGATACTGATATTATACCCGTACTCGTACGTATAAAATAAACTCGAATGATTATTGGTTTGTTGGATTTGTCTCTGTCTGGAAAAGCAGAATAACTATTAGAACATTTGAAATATATAAAAATATATGAAACACCGTGCATGCTGAGACAATTGAAGTGAGACATTTATGATTGTGAATTTTACTAGTAAGGACTTTTCTGGTCTAAAATGATTCGAAATCTATGAAAGAACAAAAAAACTAAATGAATAGCTGAAATATTAGTTATATTAGGCAATAAAACGCGAAATGAAAATACAATAAAAAAATAAAATATTTGAGAGTAAAAGAATCGTAACAAAAACCAATAAGGAGATTTTAAACCAAGTTAGTTCACGATGTTTCAATGATTATATCCACAATCCCATTCGAGTGATAACTGGACTATTTCTCTGAGAGATGACTATTTATAGGTCATTCGAGCGCTATCACCTATCCCCTCTTTCCTTCCTCTTCCCTCTCTCTTCCCACTCACCGCTGCTCCGGTTTAGCGGGAGTTGACCGTTTTTCCCACTTGATTACAGGTTTCCGTATGTTGCGTATCTCTACGCTAGCTTGAATGGATGCGTCGTTGGACTTACTCCTTCTTGTGGATGATCTCACTTGATGTTATGTTGATGAGTTCAAGTATGCTCTGCTATTCCCGATTTGCTAGTTTTTCCTCGCTGTGCAGACTTTCAATGGCCTTTCAGTTTTACCGATATAGGATTTGCCTCACTCTTGTACTTGGACCCAATTCTTCTCAACCTTTTCGAAAATCCTCTAACGTATGAAAGAGCGAGAACTGGTTGTGACAGCTTCTCTTCCTTGCGAGGCTCTTGCTGTCTTCTAGCCAAAGTCTGTTCCACCATCACTTTGGAGTACCCATTTCGCTGAAAACTTTCTCTGATGATTCCTAGTTCTTTCTCTAATCTTTCCTTCGTATTACATAGCCCGAAAGCATGATCTACTAGATGAATCATCAAGATGATTCTTCTTTTGGTAGACTGATGGTGGTTTGATTTGTGATTCAGATACTGTCCCGTATGAGTGGGTTTTCGGTAAACAGAAATTTTCCACTCAGTGTCAGTCTTCTTCACCATAACGTCTGAGAATGTCAATTCGTTCTGGACTTCCTTCTCCATTGGAAGGTGATGGAAGGTTTTACGCTGTTGAGGTGCTTCAGAAAGATGTCTAGTTCTGTATTCCCATGGTTTCATATTATTAATTATTTTAGTGGTTTTATTGTGTTTTCATTACACGTTTCATTGCATAATATAACTGATATTTCAGCTATTCACTATAATTTTATTTGTCTTTTCATAGATTTAAAATTATATTAGGCAATGGAAATCCGAACTAGTAAAATCTACCATGAGACATTGTCAACCACTTTCAAACATTTACGATTGTGTAGGCATGAATGATTGTTATGTCATAATAAAAGCAAAGTTAGCAATATCCATCACAATGATATATACAAGAGGCAAGATCGATTCTTTCACAGTAAAGCCAATATGCAATTAGACTACGGAAAATTGCGATTCAATCCACTGTAGATGAAAGAGAAATCGCACAAGACAAGCAACATGTTTAGTGTACTGAACCAAGCTACTGTTCCACTGTTTGGAAATTGAAATACACTGACGACTCAGTATACATTTCATAAAATCATCAAATTACTGTAATTAGTGGAAACTACCATATCTAGTATGTACCTATAAAACATATACGGTTTTTCTGACTTGAAATCTACTGCTACGCATAAAAATGACCTGCTGAGTTCGCTGGGACAGCTAGTTGGATCATAAATACAACGCATTGGGGCTTATGTATCTCGAAATTCTACTAAAATATATACCTACCTTTATGTGATTGATTTGATCAATAGGAGTTATTGTAAAAAACCATTGGAATGGCAGTCCAAGTTCTTTACATTTCACCATCATGGTATCGAGCTCAAAAATTTCAAAATCCCATTCCTGGCCCTTGATGACTGGCCACCCTCCAAGTTCCTCTATTATCTTCATGAATGTCCTGTTATTGTCCTCATCTATGGTTGATACGTTCATACAAGACTGATAGAAGGTTTTTTGGAGCAGTAATGGTGTCTGTTCATCTCCTGTGACAATAAAATCCCAATTTGACTTCACACCTAAACTACTTCATGAATCTAACAATGAAAATAGTCGTTTTTCGTCGACCATTTTTGGGTACTTTCACCTTCAGAAGAGGCGAATGAAGGTTAATGAACCCCACTAATGTGAGCTCAAAGAAATAGCGTAATTCTTTATATCTGCCACTCAGAAATATATCGTACTTTGTTACCTCTCTTGATGAAAAATAAGTATGGATAGTGGCGAAATTACTAATATCGGAGAACATCTTGTTTTACTTCGAATGTTTCAGGAGTCAATCAACAACATTGACGTATTTCACATTTGTTTGACATCTATCGACAACGATTGGAAAAGAAGTCAAGAAAAACATTAGATTTCTGTTAATTCTGAAGGTGAAGGCAGATTTTGACCTTCAAAACATAAAGATAGGTATTCTTTGTTCGAATTTATTCAATACAGCAAGTAACTGATGAATAACACATTTTTAGTAGTAATACCACTTCAGTCTTGAGCATATTGGAAGTCATGTCTTGTAATTGAGGATACGACAATGACCAGAGGATTCATTTTCTGTTTTGCCAGACGCAAATTGAAGAGGTCGCTGTGGCTCCGTAATTTAATTTGACAAAGTTCAAGGGGGTGATAGTTCTTTCAAAGGGTGATGTCTTGTGAGACGACGAAAATTAACTGCACATCAATAACTTGATTTTCGGCTATACCTCTCTACACACTATCAAACTCAAAATCTGAGTCGGTGTCAGAGAGGGCCATTCGGTAGTAGCTACGGTATTAGTTGGATCACCTATTATAGTGGTTATCAGTGATGTGAAATAATTTTTTTCAAAATATCACTTTCAAGATGTGCACTTATCATAACTCTCAGTATTTCCATTTCAACACTAATTGCTTGAGCGTTTATTATATATACATCCACCTATTTTATTTGCCACTCTTATTGGCTGTAGCAGTATCCACATTTTTCACAAACCAACAGCGATCTCTTTGATTTGCGTGCGACAAAAACAATAACTGAACCCTTCTGGCTTCTTTCGCCTTACAAAACACGACCCTTTGTAAGAACTGGTCTTTATCACCTTATAAGACATCTTATTTTGGAAGAACTTTTACCCCTCTGGTCTTTACCGACTTTTCAACTTGCACGCGGCAGAAACCCGAACTGCACCCTCTGGTCATTGTCGACTCTTCAATTACAAGACATGACCTTCAAATGACCAAAACACCAGCTCCGGATAGTACTCATAATGGTATTGTTATCAATTTTCTTAGGACGAAAGTAGTATAACTACAAGTTTACTTTATGGAGAATACTTTGGATTTACGCAGTAAACCTCTACACCAGTGTTTTCGCAAATTTACGAGTTTCCTACACTAGTTGTGTATGTAGAGGGAAGTTTCGTCCTGTTTTACTTCCTGAAGTATTGCGACTACTTAGAGAATTGTTATTGTTACACCCTTTCACCCGGTGATTATATGCAGAGGTTAGGTTAGGTTAGGTTAGGTCCAAAGTGAGTGGGTCTATTTGACCCTCCGCCGCAACCCACAAGGGTTTATTGTGGATCACACCTATTCACACTCGACCAAATGAACCCAGCTCCTTAACGAAGCCGATTAGTCGATTAGTTTGTATGGTGAGTGGTCTTTCAGGTCAGATGGTAAGAGTACGGCTCTGCCGAACTCTAAAAGTCTGATTCGGTCCCCAGCGGGACAGGCGCAAAGTATGTGCTCTGCTGTTTCATTATTTTCCAAACAGAGCCGACACACACTGTCTTCCGACAGTCCGAGTCTCTGCATACGATGATTCAAATGACAGTGCCCTGTAAGAAGGCCTGTGCGACATCGTAGTTCATCCCTATTGTAGCCCAACAACTGTTTGGTATTAAGCTTCAAAGGGTGAATAAACAAATTGGAGTGAGCCAATCCTGGAAGATTCTGCCAAAAGTTTATGAATCTTCTTGCCATCCAGGTGTTCAATTTTTGTTTGGCAAAGTCTAAAGCGATGCCTTCTGCAGAGGTTAGATTCGATTAGGTCTAAAGAGAGTGGGTCTATTCGACCGTACACCGCAACCCGTAAGGGTTTATTGTGCAAATGACTTGGATAGAAGAGTCGTCGAAGATAAGTACCTCGTAGACGATTCTTTTTCCTTCTGAAACAATCGTTACTGAAGCAATTAACATAAGAAGTGAGAGAGCATTTTTGGGTGAAGAGAATTATTTAGGAACAAACCAATGTCTATATTTTACATTATACTAGAAACCTTATTCATAATTAAGTAGATTTGAATGCATTATTTCGAAATTTCTGTGGCGAAATTAACTCCGGATTGATGCTAATCCTTCCAACCGAAGTTCTTGCAAGAATCGGCTCATTACATCGTTTATTAGAACTTGAGAATCAGTAACACCACCTTTACGTTTTTATTTATCATGATTGTTTTTTTGTTTAGTGCCCATATGTTAGGTAATACCTGGGTATTAGTTTATGCTTGAATCTTGTAGCTGTCTCTTGTATATTTTTTGTAATAAAAGCTGGCCAAATTACTTGGCGCTCCTTTTGATTAGAAATATTTTATTTCATGTTTGATCCACGGCCCTGTTGAGTGTTTCGAGTTGGTAACTAAACCGACCGTACTCAAACCAAAAAAAAATTAACTACGTTATATCTGGAAATTAACAAACCCACGGGTAAACATAATAATGGCTTGTTTAAATCTTTGAAACTCTTTGGTATTGTCTATAATAATGTGGACACCTGCTAATAACTGTAACTGTAGAAAAGGATCGGAATTCCCTGATTTGTTCATCAAATCATTGAAAAAATTGCAATCGTCTCAGAAGCGTCAGAGAGACACAATGAAAGTTACGGAGTCTTCTAAACTTCTGATAATCAAAGAAACGTTGAAAAAAAATTCATTGGCACGAAGAATAGTTTGAATATTATGTTTATAATCTACCTACCTATTTTTCTCGGACAGTCAAGCGGCGTTGGAAGCTCTTGGCTCCTTCCAAGCAACGTCTAAATTGATAGCAAGTTGCCAAAAACGAATCTCCTCGATAGGAAGATGTAACAGATTCTCTCTGGTCTGGATTCCTGGCCTGGAAGTCAATGAGGCTGCTGATTACTTTGCAAAGGAGGATGCTGCAAGCAGCTTCATCGGACCAAAACCTGTTATTGGCATATCTTTGAGCTTTGCCAAACAAACATTGAACACCTGACAGAATCTTGCAGGATTTCCTCGCTCAAGGCGTTTATTCACCCTTCGGAGCTTGATACCAAACAGTTGTTGGACTATAGTAGGGTTGAACTACGATGTCTAACAGGCCTTCTTACAGCTCACTGTCATTTGAATAATCATATGCAGAAACTCAGACTGACTGATGTAAAATGATGAAACAGCAGAGCACACCACTCACCATACAAATTAATCGGCTTCGTTAAGGAGCTGCGTTTATGTGGTCGAGTGTGAATGGGTGTGAACCACAATAAACCTTTGCAAGTTGCGGTGGAGGGTCGAATAGACCAACTCACTTTGGACTCGACCTATCTTAACCTACTCATTTGATTTTCTGACTATTACTGTAATCTGAGAAATCGGATAAAACATCGTACTCACCATTAAGCTGAAATATGTCCTACCTGTAATTGGGGAGGCGATAATACCGTTGATTTGGTTGTTTCTTCTGAGTTGCTGGGCAAGATGAGGAAAAGGGTTTCTTGTTTCATATGCTTCTTTGATGAAATTTCCACATGAGAAACTATAGAAATCGTCACAAGGGTTAACTGATTGGTCTATCGATGAAATAATTGCTACCGATGCTCTCATACATTCTGTTGTAGTGCATATATCACCTGGATAACATTTTAATAGTAAATGATATTGAAAAACGCATACATCACTTCAATAAATTCATCAATTCAGTTATTGTACTGAACAGCGTTTCAACAAAAACTTGACGAGTCCAATTCTGATATGAAATTCATATTCAGCCTTTTAATAAATATAATCCTTACTCATTTCATTGTCATTGCTTGTCAAAGTACTTATTACGAATGTTTGATACTTGACCTTTGTATACTGCCCTATTGTTTTCATTATGACGTTATTTTAAGGTTATGGCACGTTTAAACATCGCAATGTGGTTTGGGGGTGGTTGAATAATTTATAAAGGTTCTGGTTGACTTTCTAGTAAATTAACTATTTTGGATACGTCAGATATACAATGGAATTAGTGTAACATGTTTTTTAACGCAATCTTTTTGTTTTAGAACGATGCGGACGTATATACGAAAATCAAATCGCGGAAGCATAGGCAAAGAGGTATTGGATAGAGACGTAAACAAATCATCTTCGATGAAAAGACTAGTAATTCCACAGCACCGCACCGGATGTGCCTACTCTTCCATTACCTTCAGCGTCAATTACTGACAGTGCTGTACAATTAACAGATCAAACAAGATCACCTTATGATCACGAGATTCCTCCACGTGATTCAGCTCTCCAGGATGTCGCAGCATCAACTTCATATGCCCCTTTCATTTCAGGAGCACTTCTAGAAACGATGGCAGATTATAGATTAAAAATTTCTGGAAATAATCCAGTGACTGAAGTAAGATATACGAGCGTGCCCATCACTTCGTATAGTTTGTCTGAAGCTATGAGACCATTTCCAAACGCTAGATCACGTTTGTAAACTAATAGAAATGCTAGAAAACGAAAAAGTTCTATATATACTGACCCACCTGAAAAAAAATCTAATGCAACTTAAAGCAAAACAACATTCCAATAACCTAGCCTAACCTAACCCAGAAAACTGAGAAACCAAAGATAACTGAAAAAAGTTATTGAGGCACTAGCATAAGTGAGGAAAAAGGGAAAATGATTATTCGTGCGACAAATAAGAAAAGTACTGATGAAGGTGAAAGTGAGGAGGGGAAAATATTTTGTGTAGAGTGCACTGGATCCAATAGTTCGAATATTCCTGAAGAAGAATGGGTTCAGTGCACTGTGTACAGAGTAGGAAATATTAAGAGCAGATAGTTGTTGGTTCAAAGATGGGTCAAAAACATCTTCCGGTTCTGGTGCAGGTGTTTTCAGTCGTAGACCCAGAACAGAGAACCTGCCTAGGAACTTTTGGAGGTCGGAAGAATCCAACCTCATACACAAGTCAATAAAAATATTCTCGGACAGTCAAGCGACGTTGGAAGCTCTTGGCTCCTACCGAGCAACCTCTAAATTGGTAACAAATTACCAAAAACCAGTCTCTCCGATAGGAAGACTTAACAGATTGTCTCTGGTCTGGATTCCTGGCCATACTTTCCTTGGAGGCAATGAGACTGCTGACTCCCTTGCAAAGGGGGGTGCTGCAAGCAGCTTCATCGTGTCAGAACCTGTCATTGGCATCGCTTCAGGCTTTGCCAAACAAACATTGAACACCTGGATGGCAAAAAGATTTATGGACTTCTGACTGGACCAGGAGTGGCTCACTCCAAGGCGTTTATTCACCCTTCGAAGCTTGATTCCAAACAGTTATTGGACTACAGTAGGGATGAACTACGATGTCTAACAGGCCTTCTTACAGGTCACTGTCATTTGAATCATCATATTCAGAGACTCGGACTGTTGGAAGATAGTGTGTGTCGCCTCTGTTTGGAAAATTATGGAACATCAGAGCACATACCTTGTGCCTGCCTCGCTGGAGACCGATTCAGGTTTTTAGAATTCAGCAGAGCCGTACTCTTACCATCTGACCTGAAAGACCACTCACCATACGAACTAAATGGCTTCGTTGAGAAGCTGGGTTTATTTTGTTGAGTCACTTTGAACCTTACCTAATCTAACTGTGTGCAAAGTATGGGCTCATACAAAGTGTGTGAATGACAACATATCATTTCATGGATGCAAAAATTGCAGCACCTCCGATTTAGAAGATCGATTTAATCTTATTATAATTTGATTTGTAAGTGAAACAATACTGATAATAAAGATGATGCTGTGTCAATCTTATTTCTTCGTAGACTTGGCAGTCATTACTTTTTAGGTCAACTTACCACTAGTGACAAGTCAACTCAGTCCAGGAACGGAATAATTGCTTTTTGGAAAAATTGAAGCAATCAAAATACAAACTTTCAAACCGAGAATTGGTCAACCATTTGAGGACCCTGGTGGAGACTGATTCATCACAAACGGTGCGTGGGTGTCACCTTTCATTCGATTTTTGATGAATTATAATGCATCGGAAAAGTCAAAAAGCTAGAAAAGTAGGTGTCTGACGATTTGAACGGTCGACAGAAAATATCACGTTTCTAGGTCTCTTCTTCTTTGCTTTTATGCAACCAATATGATCTTTTCTTGGATCGGATCTCACGTGTGTTGAACGTGTGTTGAACAACAAGAGACGTTCAGAACAGTGTTTGGACACCAACGAGCCACTTTCCAGAGGCGAAAAGTCACCAAAACAAAAATATGGTTACTGTATGGTGCTAATATAACTATGCTGCTAATATAACTTTCTGCAACCGGAAAAACACCCATCCGCACAAATCACCGTCTGAAAATGAAACTAATTCAGCGTTGCCGGCAACCATCTTGATTTCGGACAGGTTGGAGCCTAGCTCCCTTACCCTTTGGACTGGCGTTTGTCAGAGGGACAAATGGGTCATGAGTGAATGGTGGGGGCGGCATGAAAGTCCTCAGACATCAGTACCGCTCTTCACGGTGTACCCCTACTTGGTTGGGGTGAGGTGGATGAAAAGTTGTTCATCTGTTGACGAGGGACATGAGTGTCGGGGCCTTCTATATCGGGAGGGGTCGTCTATAACATAGTCTATAGCTTCCCTAACTAACGGATTATCGTGAGTTTCCGCACGATCAAAAACACGCCGATTTCTCGACTGAATGGACTGCTGAATGGAAGGCAGCTGCAAATCTCTATGAATGGCTTCGTTTCGCACGAACCACGGAGCATTCACGATCAAATTAACTTATTTTGTAGTCTCTCCAGGATGGAGATATAACACGGAACCGCTTGTCCTCAGAAGCCTGAAGCATACATGATGACAGGCTTGAACATCCTGTTATAGATGGTAATTTTGTTCTTTAAACTGATCTTACATTGATCAAAGGGTACAGACTTCTGATCCGACCCTCGATCCTTGCTTTAACGGATTCGATGTGCGGGTTCCAGGTGAGTCTACGATCTATTAGAAGGCCGAAGTACTTCACCTGCGCTTGCCAGTTGATCTTCCTTCCAGAAACCCTCACTTTCCTAGCCGGACGAGATATCGTTCTTCCCATGGTTATCGCCTTTTCCGGGTTCACTCGGATCTTCCATTCAAGGTACCAGCGCTGGAGGTCATCCATTGCACGTTGCAAGAAGAGGATCTCGAGCTCCTGACCCACGGAAGATGAGAGGAGAGCCGTAACATCGACGTAAAGAGACACTTTCACACGCTTGGACCTCAGGAAGTCGCTGGTGTAGAGCAAGTATGACTTGGGCGAGAGCACAGTTCCCTGTGGCACTCTAGCGAGGATCTCCCTGTTCTCAGACAGGAAGCCCTCTACTCTAACCTGAACTGTCTTTCAGGAAAGACCCAATCCACCGGATCAGGCCCCGAGATAGGTTGAACGCGACTAGTTTGTGTAGAAGGCCTTCGTGCCATACACGGTCGAAGGCCTTCGAGATGTCTAAGAGGACAACGTGAACTTTACGGTTGCTGTTTAGCTTTGGATGGTGTTTTCGACCAGTCTCAGAGCCTGTAACTCGGCGACGTGTTCTCTCTTGAATCCGAATTGTTCGTTAGGCAGAACATTTCGGTCCTCAACTTCTTCGTTGAGCCTTTGCAGAACGACTCTTTCAGCCGGCTTAGCCGCCGACGAAAGCAGGCTGATGCCTCATCTTATATATTCCTCAGACTTCTCGCCAAACGACTACCATCTTTATAAGCACTTCGATAACTTTCTCACCGGTAGAACCTCCGTCAATCAGGGCCAGGCAAAAACGACTTTCGTCGACTCCATCGAATCCCAAGTACACAATTTTTATGCTGACAGAATCAATCGACTCGTGTTATGTTTGTAAGAGTACATTGATTCAAACGACGCTTATTTTGAATAAATTGAATGAGTATTCACTGAGATATTTCAGTTCAAAGTAGACTTATAAAAACGGACCAAACTTTCGAAACAACCTAATAGCTTCATCGACTGTTGAATGAGAAATCGCTCTCTCTATAGCAGTGGCAGATTCACAAATTTTTAAGGTGAAGGCTGTACAGTTTTTGCCGCCCTTGCCTCTACAATCGTCATGCCCTACATTATTTTGACAATCCCAACAATTTCGTTAGAATTGTAGGTAAAATAATTTTTGAATATTTTTGAGCTAATCAAAGCTCAATCATTTACGAGCGGGGTAATGTTTTCTACTCACACAATAAATTACATTTGGTAAACGTGAATAAATATTCTTTATTGCGCTTCCGAACAGTTAAAAAAATTAACTCAGTCAAGTTATAAAAGTTCGTTGCAATAAATTCTGTTGTCAAAATCATCGACGATATCGTCATAAGTAATCTTGTTCATTAATTCTGACTCTATGCAAAAAAGAGCAAAGAAGGGCTTCTCTCACTCAAACAATTCGTGAGAGGAGGAAAGTCATCGGCAACATGTGTTGCAGACTTCTATCTGTAAGACATCAGACAACCGTCATGCCAAAATCTTTTTAATTTCCATGATGTAGCAAAAAATCGTTCCTCAAATTTGCCGCCCCAGAAATCTGCCGCCCTAGGCTCAAGCCTACTCAGCCTGCTGGTAAATCCGCCATTGCTCTATAGTAAGTGACGATTATTAGTATTCTTACCTGTATCGGCTTTTATTCTGAGATAATAAATATATGAACCCAACACCCCGCAAATCAGCACTAATAATATTATAATCAAACCACGATTCGTTTTCCACCATTTCTTTTTCTTGGGTTGTTTTTCGAACAGTACCCTGAAACAACACTGTAAATAATAAACACCGCAGGAAATGAATACTAAACTCACTCAGTCATAGCCATTTCAGAATGTTCCACATACTCAACTGAAATGGTTAATTTTTGAAATGCTTATCTATTAATTTGTTTTGTCCTTTTTAATCATTCGTTTGATACGTACACAAATCGAACCTATTTCACGCTATGAAAAATGAAGACCCATGTTTTAACCTTGTATTTCTTAAAATAGATTTGTTTGGTAACGTTTTATAGGAATAGGAAATGGAACACTGGGAATGCAATGTGTTCCAGTTTTTCGACAGATTGGATCAAGGTCGATTTTACGATGGAAAATTTTATTTTGCTCTCATTTCTATTTTTGTTTTAACTCTCAATGAAGTGTTTAGTAATGCACCTTCACCATTATGGAATCTAATCTAATATCTCTAAAACAGATATTGATGAATATACTTTTTTCATACTTTGTTCAAGCTAGTCTATGACTCACTCGATGAAGGAAAGTACACATATCGCCAAAATTCTTGGACCCCCTTATGTTTGTCTAAATGAGACACTATTATCATAAGTCAAGAAGTGTATTACAAAGTATGGTCGAAGTAACTGATATAGCAATTTTTAAAGCTATCAGCGAACTCAAAGGCCAAAAACACCAATATAAAGAAATAATGCCACTACGAATTAGTCCACGTGGACTGAAGAACTGGAGGTTCGTATTGGATAATTTTTACTAACCGAGTTTTATGCTTGGCTGAAGAGTCATAAATTTAAATTAGAAGTCATGTTATGGTGACCAATAGAATGTAACGATGAGTACCGCTGTTAGGTATGCCGTCAATGTTCAATTCAGGAACTGATCGCGATTTGAGTGTTGAAATTCGATATTAGTGAAGTTGAAATTATTTAAAATTTTTGTTATTTGTTTAAAATGTGGCGTCCTTGCAAAAGTACTAATAATACCTAATAATGAGTGTGATAACAACGCAGACTTTTTCCTGTATAGTGATTCCAATAGCGCTGGTGAGCAATGCGAAAAAGAGATACCAGTGAATAAGATTCAGATGCATTTGAATATTGAAACATAGAGAGTATGTTTCAATGTATACACTGTGTCCGTAAAGTATGGAACAAATTCATTTTAGCTAAACAGGTCATTTTAAGAAATAATCCTGAAACACGTCGATTTTTGATGTTAATTTACCGTATTTTAAAATAATAATCTAATATACAGGGTGAATTACGTTCGAGTAATGACGTCACCGTCATTTTTTTCAAAAGGAACACCCCCATTTTGTCTCAATTTTCGGATTACTCTAGCTGAGCTGATTCCAAAAATGTATCACATGTTGATTCCAATTGGTACAGGGTGGACAAAAATACAGTAGTTATGTGTGTGCTAATAAAGTAACGCGTAACATTCTTTATTATGTAAATTAACAATATTATCAAAAATACTTATTGTCTAGCGGCAATTGGTTTAAATGTAACACCCCGTAGTTTGCTACATGTTTAGAGTAATAAAAATGAGCTGTTTCCAAACATGTTTGGTACTTGTGGTCTAGCAGACAGAATATGAAAGAAATTATTTCTTATCTACATTTATAAAAAACATAGTCGTCTATTTTTTTGTGAAATATCATTATTTGTTTAGTAATTTATTGATGTTCAGTGACAGTTTAGTACTACAATATTTTTGGTATTCGTGAATATTCGAATGATTGCTTAGATTACATACACAAGGTTCAACAAGAATTTGTACACAGTTTGGGTTACTGTCAAATACAGTAAGGGCTGCAGTTCGAACATTTAATATAAAGTCTTGTATTCCAGCATATTCTGTCCGCTAGGCAATAAGTATTTTTGATAATGTTGTTAATTTACCTAGTAAAGAATGTTACGCGTTACTTTATTAGCACACACACAACTACTGTATTTTTGTCCACCCTGTACCAATTGGAATCAACATGTGATACATTTTTGGAATCAGCTCAGCTAGAGTAATCCGAAAATTGAGACAAAATGGGGGTGTTCCATTAAAAAAAAAAGACGGTGACGTCATTACTTGAACGTAATTCACCCTGTATATTAGATTATTATTTTAAAATACGGTAAATTACCATCAAAAATCGACGTGTTTCAGGATTATTTCTTAAAATGACCTGTTTAGCTAAAAATGAATTTGTTCCATACTTTACGGACACAGTGTATAAGAATCTACATATCAAGTTTGGTTCGAGGGAAAAAAAACTATTACAAGCAACACCAGATTTGACCGAAATTCCTTTCAAAACTGTACTACGTAAAATATTCAAAAGCAAACCTTATGAACGCAAGACGCGATGTGATGCGGGATTACCAAAACCTTTAGATGTTCATCAAATAAAATCATTAAAAAACAATATACGACTGTTACAAAAGCAATGAGATTCCTACAATTGAAATCATAAAGAAGAAATTGAACACTTCCGTCCATAACGTGAGTTGCTGTGACAAAACTCTTCAGAATTGGATAAAGAAACTAGGATTTGGATTTAAAATAATAAACAAACGTTAAGTAAGCAGTTATGGAAAGCAGAAGAATACTGGAATTGTGTAACAAATACTTAGAACAAATAACTAAATATAGACAAAAACAATGGCAAATTTTCTATTTGGATGAAACTTGGTATGACACTCACGACACAGTTATGAAAGGGTGGACTGATGATTCGAGAATGTGTACGCCTAACATGCCTGCAAACAAAAAATCGCGACTAATCATTGTGCATTGCGGAGAAAGTGAAGAATGGGTTCCGAATTTTTTCTAATTAGGTGGAAAAAAACTTGAGGACTGCAATGTTGACTAACATAAAAACATGGAAGCTAATATTTTTGAGGAATGGTTTGAAAACACATTGGTCCAAAATTTGGATACGAATAGTGTAATAGTTCTTGACAACGCTTCCTATCATTCGCATTATGCCTCTCCAACACATTACTGATCCTCCTTGGTATGAAACAACTTCTCTAGCAGAAGATAGTCTTTCTTGTCGCCCTGGCCCTCTCCAAACTCTATGTCGCCGACTATCACTAACTAAACCAAATGTGGTTTCGCCACTGAGCTAAAAGCCAACCTCTGTGTTCCTGTGCTCACTGTAGACGAGCGGCTATGTGTCTGGAAAGTAGCCTGGGTACTCTTAATGGTCTCTTCAATTGCAAAGTCTCTGCCGTATTGTGGTACTGGAAATTAATCGGTCAAACGTTCTTCCTTAATGAGTTCGGACTGGTAACACTGTTATGGTTCGATTCCGACGTACATATCCTACTAGATACCGATCCTCTCTTGCATTAGTTTCCCTAGGACGCCCAGTCCCACGTCTCCAGTCAACGCTGTTAGTTTCCTGGTACAAAAGCACTATTCGGATAACTGAAGCGCGGGGAATCCTCAGTCTATCCGCGATTTGATTATTCGGCAGTACCTCATCATGCAAAGTCACTATTCCTGCTCTATGGAACACTGAAATTCTATTGCCAGGCATAATTGCAAAGAAGAACTTGAAAATCACTTAAACACGCTAAATCGATATGAACCACTCCATAAACATTGGTATCTAAAATCAGAGGAAATTGTTTTTGTAAACATTTTTGCATACCTAGCACAGGTGAAATAAAAATAAAGATGAAATGTACTAAAAACCAGCCATGATAAATATTTTGTTTTACAATTTACCAGGGGGGTCCAAGAATTTTGGCGATGCGTGTATGTTGATGCTCTTTCCTTTGACCTATCAAAAAGTCTTGTAAAATATTTCAACGGACTCTTATAAATAAATATTTTCCTATATACAATAAATCACTGGAGCTATTTTTCAAAATTTGACGATTTCCGTATCGCCCATGTTGATTAATAAACTATATACATCCGTTAGTAAAGGTAACATCAATAGGTATAAATGTTTCACAGGAAACTACTGCACAAAATATCCTTTGAATATTTTCTCTTCCCAAAATCACCTAATCTGTCATGGATTTTGTTTTCCTACTATAATAATAAATTAGTCATTTTAGTGTTGAATAACAATGCCTTTCACGCCGCCGGAGCAGGAAACGGGATTTTCTTGTTGCATGAGAATTTGGAGCAGTCCCTCATTTTCACAGCATCCATGGCTTCTTGTAGGTGATGAGAAACTACTATTTGGACGTCTGGATGAAACCTGCGACAAATATATAAGTATTATATTCCGTCGAATCTAAAACAATACTTTTTTTCGTCAATAACGTTACACTGATTTCTTGAAATAAAAGACAATAGTCTAAAACCTGGACAAGAGATAACTCCAACATCAGTTTTCCTTTACACTACTTCCATTCTTTTTTTATTGATTAACATGACGATATGAATTTTTGAAATGTCAGACTAACGCTATTTGGAGATTAATTATTGCTGGCTTTCACTTCTCATGCGTACCCAGTGTCTACGACTTCAGTTTTCCTTCGTTTATTAGACACTACCATTGAACTTTTTTTTATTTTACACACGATAGTAGCCAGTTGATTATTCAAGGAGAAACAAACTGATATAACTTTTGAACTATTATACAGGGTGTTTATTAAACATGCGGCAAAACAATAAGGAACTATTCCTTGGACTATTTTAAAGATATTTTTGATAGGGCGCTTTTTTTCGAAGATTCGGGGCGAGCGAAACATAGTTTCGCTCTCGCCCTCTTCAAGATTAAGAGTCGCAAATCGTGCAAAGAATACTTTAAAAATCACCAAATCCTCACAGTGATCTCTATTTTTATATTGGAAACATCATATATATATGTACCATTATTTACTCTAATTTGATCAGATCCTGTGTTTATTTGTGTTTATACATCTGTAAGTGTTATTTTAACAATATGTTAACATACATCCATGTACGACAACTGACTTTGTCAACAAGAATTGTATTCTTTCGACAATAAAGCATATTCTGATTCTGATTCTGAAACAATTTTGGTAATTTTAAAATTATTAACGTAGCCGAAATAAAAGTATAGCGTACTACACTGGACCTACCAAGTAGTCAAAAATCTAACAATTCGGTTGGTACCTATCAACAACATTCCGATTACTACAAACGGCTGCAGACATTCAATTTGAATAGTATGTCTCGTAAGTGATCATTTGTGTGTGAATAGGTAGGAATGGGTTGAAACAGATTGACTTTGTCTATTTGACGTGCATTTTCTGTGTTCAATATTCATTAAAGTCTCTCACAAGACTGTAGCATGCGGCTACAGTAACGCATGCATTTTATTTATGGACTTGATGATGGCAATTCATTGGAAACCTAATCGAAATGTGCCTAATAGAAAAACCTTCCAAAGTATACACCAACGACTTCGTGAAACAGGAGCATTGAGCGGAATGAAAGAACAGGAAGGCCAATGATAGTAAGAACGATAGAAGTAGAGGAGAATGTGCTGGCCATGATAGAAGAAGATCCAGGTACCTCTACTCGAAAAATTGCAAATTCTTTAAATGTAAATAATGGGACGATTTGGAACATTCTCAGAGACTATTTGTGGTATCCATACCATATTCTACGAGTTCAGGCACTTCTTTCTGTAGATTCTTTTTCGCACATTGGCTTTTTCGCTTTTTTACCGATGGAGCCAGTTTCTCAAGAAATGCCATAAAAAATTTCCTCAATAACCATGTTTGGGCTGAAGAAAATCCACATGAGGTGCTTGAAGATCGCTTTCAACATCAGTTCTCGTTAAACGTTTGGGTAGGAATTGTAGGTGAATTCCTAATTGGACCGGTATTTCTGCCAGGAAGACTTATCGGCGAGGTATACTGCAACTTTTTGGAAATGGTTATGACATCGGAACCAAAGTCAACCGCCCCAATGGAAGAACTCAGGAGAGCCAAAACCAAGGAAGTCACGCCAAGTTTGATCAAATATGTCAATGTTTTGCTCACTGGTTTATCCGATAACCGTGGCGTAGTGCATCAGAAATTCTTGCCACATGGTCGCACGGTCAATAAGAAGTATTATCTTGGAGTCACGTGCCGCTTGCGAGAAGCAATACTGTTACGTTTTTCCCTGTGGGTTGACCAATAATTGACTACACTGAATCAATCAAACTCTACTTCATTTATTGAATACAAAAAACACTTCAACTAAAACTTCAACTATTATTTGAATGTCTATCGCCTCACTAGATCGCTTCACGTACCGCATTGTAAGTTCCACTTGACTGTTTATATATCGTAATCGAATGCGTTAGAAAATTTCGCCGGAATTCCATCGCAATCGGTAACATTATTATCGCTACGTCACAATTGGATTATGGCTACAAGTGGCGGCCGGCGTTATTTTCTTTAGGGCATGAGTTCATGGCTTCTGTATTACGATAATGCTCCTGCTCACTCGTCATTACTTATTCGTAACTTTTTGGCAGAACTGCTTTGAGGATTGGAAAAAATGCTGGCACAAGTGTATTACTTATATCTGAAGGGGACAAAATAGAAATTGATGAATAAGTAAATATTTTTTGACAAAAATTGAAATTCACCTTTTTGACTAGACCTCGTATATAACTAATGACAACGAAATCATTGTACACGAAGCCATTACTTGGAGAGATTTTAATAAATGAAAAATAATAAATTCAGTCTAGTTAACTTGAAGTATCTCTGTTAATATATGAATCTTCCATCAATTATTTCGATCACATTAAGAATATCATGATTGGTTTTGTGTACGTGTTTTCCGAGTCTCAAATTGAGTTCGGTTCCATTTTTTATAATCAATCAGTATATGGTCATTCGGTCTAATCTAATCCTCTTCATATTCATATGTTTTGACAGTGTTAGTCATCCAGAATTCAAAACTTTTCATATATATTATTATCGATCTTCTTTTGTCAATAACTAGAAAAAAAAGATACGACAATATAAATCGTTTGTATTTCTTCAAAGGAGAATGCACTACGATATTTGATATTTAAATGAGTAGTTTCGTTTTCCTAATTGAGGAATTCGATTCAAACTGCATTATTACGAAGGTTAATGATTTTTTTCTCTGTAATTGATCTGTTTTAAAATCTGTTTTTCCGTTAATGGTTGAATAGAAGAATTTTGTCGGAATGGAAGCAATCAGTGAAAATGTTCTCTGTGATGAAACTAAGAGACGGACTTAAGAGTAGAGGTGAGCCAATTTATTTTCGTTATATGTGTGATTGATGGCTTGTTTATTTTGTGGTAATTCATGATCACTTTAATGAAATGAATAAAAACACATTTGTCTTATTACCACTAGTTGATTTTATTTATACGACCGGTTTCGGGTTTAACCCCATTACCATTTACGCTTGATACTGGGCTTAAACCCGAAACCGGTCCTCTAAATAAAATCAACTATTGGTAATTAGACAAAAGTGTTTTATCCATGTCGTTAAAGTATTTTTGTTATACTTGTTCCATCTTGAAGTATTTCACATACAGAATAGTTGAAACTTCATCTCTAGAGTTCGAACTCATCATTACTTTTCACTTCGAATTCCATTTCGATAATAATTGTACATCATTTTTATCCGACTTCGACACGCCTATGAATTTGGGAACAACGACTAGATACCATTCTTAGATGTTTTATTTATTATTTGAAATACATATTTTATGGAGACATCAATGTTTTTTATTGTTTTGTGTGTAAACTTTATGAATAAGACAAGTTAATGCTAATTGGACTCTTCAGTTATTGGGTAAAAGTAAAAGTATGCGTCAAAAATTAATAAATCTCACAGGTAAGATGCTTCCACAATTTGGGATTAATTACGGATGATGAACTGATGTTAAAATCTGTTATATTTGCCAAATATCATTCATGAACTTGAAGAAAATATATGCTAATAGGCAATTCCTAAATATGGAACGTGAATCAATTATCTGCGACTCGTTGGTGCTAGCTTAGTTCAATTTTTGTGACTCACTATATGGTCCATGTTTAGATGCCAAAGATATTCGTCGTATACAAGTAATGCAAAATTCGTATTTGCCACTCATATATGGGATGAGGAGGCAACAAAATATATCTCACAAACTGAATGAGCATGGCTGAATATGGCAAGTTGCAGTTTTTTCAGGTAGAATATCTTTAGTATAAACGTTTGTTTTGAAGGAACTTTTAAACCTGCAGTTTATATCAAGTGTCGAATTCCTATATACAAACTGATGTAAATCGCTTAGAAGAAATACAAAACAACTGCATTCGTCTTTCTTATGGTGTGAGAAAATTCGACCTCATATCCCCAAGTTTGAGGAGTCAGGTTGGTTACCGATTGTTAAAACCTGTTAATTCCACCTACTCGTCAATACACATAAATTCCTCAATTACATAAAACCAAATTATATTTATGAAAGATATAAAACTTTCAAATTTCAGAATAATTCGAGGAGACGAAACCGTCACACTTTTATTATTCCAAAACACTCGACAGCCTGCTTTTCTCGTAGTTTCATTTACAACTCTTATCAAACAATATAACGCTCTGTCCAGTGAATTTAGGCACTACTCCATATATAATTTCAAGAAAAAGTTGGAAACGTATCTGAAGTCTTCTGGATAAATAATAAATTCATGTCATGCCTTGCTCATATGGTTTTCCCTTTGTCTCCCTTTTGTGTATGTTTTGCTATATATTTTACCTTATTTAAGCTAAATAGATCTTTAATTTGGAATTTGTAACCTTTGTTTTTTTTTTCTTAGTTTCACAAATATTTATGAAGTACTCACTTACCAATGTATACTGGGTAATTATTTTTATATTTCTATATAACACATGCCCTAGGTTAAGTTGTAAAACAGCCTTCGGCTGAACTTCACCCTTTCATTGATTTTTGTATTTACTCCTTCTTTATAAACAATGTATGTCAATGAATAAAGCCCATTTATTATTATTATTATAATTCTTCGAAATTTTTGAACATCATTATGTATCGTAAAAAGCTTTTGAAAAGTTTTCTCTCTTCAACTTACAATTCTTACGTTCAGTTTGATTGACCTGGTATATTAGATTTCCCTTTCCTATGTGACGATTACTTACTCTCTCATCTATAACACTACTAAGAGTCAGACTGTTACGCCTGCGATCAGGAAGTGAAAGTGAATTCCTGTCATTTAAAATCGTTCAACATTCCAAACTCTTCTTTTCAACAA